CTTACAGCAGGTATCCTGAAATGCTACTCATGTGAAATCCTGGAAAAGAAATATAGTGTCTGCTGAATTATGAACAAGAACCTCATCTTCAAGATGTCACTCAGTGCTTTTGGACGTTTTTGATGATTGCTCCAGAGAGGTACCATGTCAACTTAGATTTTGTATGAGCAAGGTAGAAGACAGTTTCATACTATTTGCTGGACAGCTGCCCTTCCGTGTGTATTGTTATCTGGATTTAATTTCTAGCTGGCTCTAGATTTTGGCTTAGAGAACAGAAAACAGAGTACATTTAGCAGTCAAAATAAAAATAATCAACAAAGAGTTTGCTTTATTAGGGTTGGCAGCAGCAGCAGCTGTTTAGCTGTGTCAGAAATTCTTGCACCATGATGTAGTGAATGATACAGCAAGGGTTGCTAGCAATTTGTTTTATCCAGTGCACTGACATTGTTGTAACTTTCTAGTTGGACAGTACAGTTGGTTGGATCCAGATGTAACTGTAAGTAAAATAGATCCCTTAAAATCAGTGGGACTTAAGGAAGTCATTGCTAACTTGTTTCACTCCTTTCAGTACTTTAAGCATGACTAGGGTGTCATCCAAGCATCCTATGTGCCCCTGCTAAAGAGGTGGTTCCATCAACCATTGATCTGGATTAGTTTTATACATGTACATGATATTACTGGATACCTTCTACTCCCTTTATCTTTCAGGATTATTTTCTTTCTCTTGGGAACTTTTTTTTGGGATGCCTGGTTTATTCCAGCTGTGCCAGCTGTGTCTCTTCCTTCATCCCAAGCAAGCCTGGTTCCTATGGGGTGTGCACTACGTGAATTCCCCCGACATGCATTGCAATGTGGGAGTACCTTACTTCTACCTCCCCCTGTGGGGAAAAAAAAGACAAGGAGTGGAGACAGAAAAAGCGGAGGGTATGAGGAGGAAGGTGGAAAAGTAGGAGAAGGAAGAGAGAGAATGTCTTATGGAGCAGAATTTCAAATAAGGAGAATCTGGATTACATTCAAGGAAAAATTAGAACAGGCATGGAAGCCTGGAATGAGTGACTTGATGTCTATGGGGAAAGGGGACCACCCTTCCAGCTCGCCTGAGTCTGGGTCACCCCTCTCAGTCTGGATCTAATCTAGCATTCTGAAAAAGATGCACAATGCCACCCTCACTGCTACATATGTGCCAAAGGCACATACTCCTTGACTTGCGGCTGGAAAACATATGTTGTTGGTCTGCATTTTCCATAAGTAGTTGAGAGATGATGGGAGTTGTAGTCTAACAACATCTGAATAGCCCTGCCTTAGCAGCTGCTTTTAGGGGCAAAGATATTTGACCTACTGATGGGCTTTCTAGAGGAATCTAAATGGTCTTTGTTAGAATGTGCCTTCCAGACATGTTGTATTGAACCATGGGTAATTTATTTCCAGCAGTTACAGAGTTATATTGAAGCAGGGCATCTTTACATTTTATACACTGCAGTTTGTAAATGTGCACACCAGATGGTGCTAAAAATTGAGACTAAACACTAAAATACTACAAGGAAAAGTTGTTGGGAGATAATTCCCCCTCCCCCCAAGATGTTATATACTGAGATGGAATGGCAGAACACTGGATCTATGAATTGTAGAGTTCTGGAGCAAAGTCACATTTTTGAATGGTTGTTCACATTCAGAAAAAGCTCACAGAAGACAGAAAGCAAGCATATCTGAGACAGGGCTGTGCAAAACCCTTTTATCTAAGGCAGTGGTTCCCAAACAGGTGTTCTAGGACTACAGTTCCCAGAAGCATTCACTACCAGCTGTGCTGGCCAGGGTTTTTGGGAGCTGCAGCCCAAGAACACCTGGGTTACCCAAGGTTGGGAACCACTGACCTAATCAATTGTGCAGACACCACTGTGCAGCCCAGCTGATCCCTGTAATCCACTGCTCATGTACAGTAAGTTGACTGTACAGGGCGACACATTTGTGTTGGGGGAACAACCTGGATTCCAGTGGCCACTTCTGCAGCTATGAAAACTGCAGGATTGGTGGCCACCAACAATAAAGGGGCCCCACTGCATTCTTGGATGTGCACTCTCTTTGGACACTATATTTAATATTTTCTTTCTCTCAAATGAAATGTAGAAACTGAAGAATGTTCCTCATAGTGCCACTGGTGCTGGTGCAGCAAATGAAAAGGAACCAAGGCAAGAAAGGTGAGCCTTCCTGTTTCAGCATGTGTAACATCTTGCTTAGCTCTGGAATGTTCCAAAGCAAGATCTGCATAAATACAGAGCCCAGGTATGTGAGTCAGAGAGAAGGATGTAATAGGCTAGTTTATTACTTGCAGTGGAGGAGTGTTCAGGAATAAGGCCTACAACCTAGCCTCTGAAGTGGGACAATCCAGACTTCTTGCATCTTAACTTGCCACCTAGTTTTACATTGCACTATAGATCAACATCTCCATAAAGAACTATCCAGGCATAATAAATATGAATACTTTTCTATGCTAGATTTTAAAAGTAATTTTATGTTACTTACATTATTGACTCTATTGTATATTGAAACCACTAATGTGTGTGCTTTTATCATGTTTGCTTCACGCACAAAATATGGAAACTGCAAGTTAAATGTAACTCTTACCTTCTGGATTATGTAAACCATATAGACATTCATATAGTTTCTATAAACCCACACCTCCCTTAATCTTTTAAACCCCTATGCTTTTCCTTTGCAGGTTAAAGATAACACAGGGTGGGTGGGGGACACCATGAGAGTAGTGATCTCAAATATCTGTATTGACCTGTGGGTTTAAAGCTATAGAATTAACCCCTGTAGGAATGGTTTGCTAGGCACTTTTTCTGGTATTCACACAAGTGTATTGTAATACAATTGACATGCAAGCTCAAGATACAGATATACCACTCTTAAAAGAGAATGTATTTGCAAAGTCATTCTCCTTACTTAGAGTCACTTTGAGTTGGAAGAGACCCTATAGGGTAGTTAGTCTTCTCAACCACATTGCAGAGAACCCACTGGATAGAATTAGGAAATTTAAGAAAGAGTTGTATACCACCTTCTGGTGAAGATGAAACATTACATACCAGTATTCGAACAGAATTCTGGAACACGTTTTCCCCTCCTTTTCTCCCCATAGGGGCAAAGGATGACTCATACAAGTCAAAATATTTGCTGTTCATTCAACTGTTTTTATGACAGAGGCCTGCCTGATGTATTTCAGATAAACGAAGTGCTTCTTGATAAACAGCAAAGATACTGTATGATGTTTGGTGAATCTGCTGTTCTAGTTCTTAAATAGGAATAGGTTTTTCAAAGTCTTTTGAAAAACAGGAGAGCTATTCCAGCCATATTAAGTTAGTTTAAGCCAGGTACAAATCGTGACTTTACTGTAAACTTCAAATTGATGGCACCATATCTAACCTAATTCCAGGATGTATCATTGCTCCAGTTGTGCAAGTAGTTCACACTGGCTAAAATCCCATAGTAAGTCACAACTAGAGTAGGCCTATTAAATCAGTGGGGATTTAGTGAGTCAACTCCTCTGTAAATTCCACTGAATCAGTGGACCCTCTACTTGTGATTTACTACTGGATTTCAGCCATTCTGATGTCCTTACCAACAAACCAGGAAAAATACTCTCTGGTTCTGTCTATTGGCCATTTCTGATAATGTACTGAACTATATGTAAAGATATAAAAGCCAACACCAAATATTTCCCTTGCTACTAAGATTGGTAAGGTGATGGCCTAAATGCAGAAGAAAGTGAAATGACAAAACAACAGATGCCCCAAAGCATCAAATAGTCCCATGGACCTAAAATCTTTGTTGCTTGTGTGTCTCTACCATAACATCTACATATCTATGCAGTTGTCTGCAGGGGGAATATATGACCTTCTACACAAGATGAAACTCTGCATGATCAAGGCTTCACTGCACAAAAAGATGTACAGATGTTGTTTGTTGTCTAGTAATTAAGTCATGTCTGACTCTTGTGTGACCCCATGGACCAGAGCACACCAGGCCCTCCCGTCTTCCACTGCCTCCCACATGTACAGATGTAGACATCCATAACAATTATGTAACGAAGATGGGCTGCCAGGACAGGGCAAGGAAGCTATGCAATGGTCCAGAATAGCCATGTCCAACATATATACGTGGCTCTTTATTTGTATCACAGGTAAATGGGACATACTATCCAAGACCAAATTAGAAACAATTCCCATTGGTCACTATCAAATCACTTAAAGCAGTGGTTCTTAACGTGGGCGATAATGCCCCCCAGGGGGCGATTTCATTTTTCAGGGGGGCGGTAGAACGAAAAGGGGCGGCGTGGGGGCGCTGGAGCAGAAGGGGGGCGGTAGGGGGGCGCTGGAGCAAGCCAAACCTGTGAAGATGGCTGCAGCCTTTTTACAGTGTGCATGAATATATATTTTCCTCCAATCTTAATTTAGTTTCAGAGTTTTCGTCTTGAAATTTTTAGTTCCTGCATTGCGGTTTGTTTTATGCCCTTTTTATATTTCTTTTTGCGTCTTTAAATTCACTTGCAACTAAATATAAAATGTTACTTTTGGGGGGCATTTCATTTTCTTGGAATTGAATTTTGTTTTCAGGGGTCATTGGATTTAAGTGTCATAAATAAATAAATAAACAAACAAACAAACAAACAAATAAATAAATTAGAAATATATCATCACCCCGGGGACGGGGGCGATGATAACTTCCTCAATGGCTCAAGGGGGCGTTTCTTTCAAAAAGGTTAAGAACCACTGGCTTAAAGGGTGGTGTATATACTCCGTTTCCCAGCTACTATGGTCACGCTCATCTCCAACTTTTTTAACCTATATCTATCCAGCATGGTTCTTAAAGAAATGTTCTTTGATAGAGATGTAACTGTGTAGTACCTGTGGACTAGAGTCTCAAATATTGTTTGACAAGTCAAGATCTTTATTTTCTGAAGTTCATAAATGATTATTTATTACAAAGGATAAACAGGGAAGTACTTTTAAACCCCAGTATCATTTTATTTGTTGCATGATAAACATGAAAAAAGCAAAACCATTTCTACATTTTTTTTGCCAATCACAAGTGCAAAATGTAGCAACCATTCAGTAGTTTGCAAAGTTATGAATAACACTAACGACACTGACAGAACATTCAGTAAAACAGAATAGAAAGTCTCTTTCCAGCAGATTAGATTTAGATTTTCAATCTAAAAAAATTTAACAGCAAGCTCTGTTAAATTACTATATGCAAATTATCTGTCAGAACTTCTTTCTTGCAGTATTTCTATTCCCATGAGTGCTTCTCATAGTAACTTGTGGATTAGAAAACTGGCCAAACAAATCAAAATTTTAAAATCAGTTTAACATTTATATCTGAAAGATTTATAATAATTCTATTCAACTCTGACACACAGTTTCTTATAAACTTCCAAATGTATGGCCTTTGTTTTGTTCTCTTTTTACTGAAATATATATGCTTTACTTATTTATAAAATAGAAAATGTTCTCCTGTTAGGGAGATGCAGAAACGAATAGTTCAGCCTACTATCCAACCAAAGTTAGGCAGCTTGATCTTAGTCTTCTATTAAAAGCAATTATTTTGCTTTGGATTGTGATATGTTAGAACTCCCACGTTCAACCAAAACCATAGAGGCAGCAATTTGCATCTTGCAGATGTTCTCCTTTCGTTTCTAATAGGAAATTTATTTGTTCTTCTTTTCTGCTGTGTCTTCCTGCTCTTTTATTTTTTCTCTGTAAGAATTGTATTGTGAGTCTGTACCAAAGAGTTTGTCCCACCAAGTGAAGGTTGATGCATAATTGCCGATGAAGTTCATATGGTGGAAATCGTGAAAGCGAGCCCCAGCATAGAAAGGCACCAAATGCAAAGGATTCAAAGGAATGTCATAGCCACTAAAGAGAAAGAGAAGGATACATTTCAATATTGATACAAAGACATTCCTCACCTTTCTTTTAACTACTGCTAGAAGGTTTCACACTGTAATGTGATGCATGTTTTCTCAAAAATAAATTCCACTTAGTCCAATATGGCTTTCAACCCAAATAAATATATATATAGGATTACAGCTTTAGATCTTGACTTGTTTCAGTATCAGCTTAGTATTAAAAATTCTGAAGTTCAAAGACTGTGCCACTAGACAACATATTTCTAGATGGAGAACTGTAGGAATAAAATATTTTAAGAGGTTAAGGACTGTTTCTCCATTTACTTCATGAATGACACCTGAACATCAAGCAGATAAGTTTTCTACACAGTAGAAAGGAATGTGACAGTTTTCAATGTTGCTCCCATAACAATGAGGAAAAGGCATTATCTGTCATCACTGCTTTCTCTTTAGCTTCTGAAACATTTCCAACAGTATAAACAGGTAGTTGCCTCACTACAATTCAGTCTGGGAAATAAGAATGTACTTAATTTATTAACTTATTTTATCTCTATGTTGCTTTTCTCCCAATTATGGGACCCAAGATGGTTCACAAATCATTAAAAGACCAAGCCAATTAAAAACACAATACTTTATTACATTTAAAAAAAATTAATTCATTTTTAAGAAATATCTTAAAGGCAAATCAAAGCATACGTACATAAAATATGGACCACTCAAACTCATTGCCACCTGATTAATTTGTTAAAAGCTATCCTGATAAGCGTGATCTTCACCTGTCACTGGAAGGACAAAAGGGAGATGACATTCCACAATCTAGGAACAACCAGAGAAGGCCCTATCTCACGTTTCCACCACATGTGCCTGAGAAGATGTGTGGGACTGAAAGAAGGGCCTTTACCAAAGATCTTAATACTGTAGTCAAGAACATTCATACAGAGAGTTATAGTCCTTCATACAGCTGGGAACCAAGCTGTTACCAGCTTTATAGGTCATGATGAGCACTTTGGATTGAGATGGAATTGGACTGGCAGTTGGGAAAGCTGTTGTAACAGAGGGCTTGTATGCTCTTTCTAACCAGCCCCAATCAGCAGCCTAGCTGCAGCCTGTTGAACCAGATGAACCTGCCAAACTGTCTCCAAAGGCAGCCTCACATAGAGTGCATTGCATCAATCCAAAAAGAATATAACGAATGCATGTGTCACTGTAGCCAAATCAGGAATATGCTGGAAGAGATTTTTTTTATTTTGATGCTGCCAATTAAGAGACCCCAAGGCAGCTCACAAGTGAGAAATGAGCATCTATACTCAGAGATTAATCGAGGAGTACACCCAAGGTGCAAGCCTGAATTGTTAGGGGAACTGTAGTGCCATCCGGCACAAATTGAATCCCTGTTTCCAGATCTGCCCTTTGAATAAGCAGGAGTGCTTTGGTCCTGTCTATAATAAGTTTCAATCCGTTTGCCCTAATCTAGTCCATTATCAATGACAGACACTGGTTTAGAACAGGAACAGCTTTTTGGAGTTAGGTGGAAGGAGAGCTACAGTTAAGATGTCATCCATATTCTGCCAACACCTAACATCAACATTTCAGATGATCTCTCCCAGCAGTTTCATGTATAGCATGGGGCAGAAGACAGAAAGAACTTTGAGGGACACTACAGACCACCAGCACTACCTTCTAATCACCCCCTCCAAGTCCCATTACAGAGAGATGGCCTAGAAGGATACCATGGTTGGTGGTACTGAAAGCTACTGAGGGTTCCAGCAAAATCTTAAACCTTTCCCTTTCAAATACAGAATATCACAGAAGTGAGTACACCCCCTCACATTTCCTAACTATTTTAGTATATCTTTTCATGTGACAACACTGAAGAAATGACATTTGGCTACAATGTAAAGCAGTTGAGTATACAGCTACAGCCATTCTAACTGTGCTGTCCCCTCAAAATAACATAACACACAGCCATTAATGTCTAAACCACTGGCAACAAAAGTGAGTACACCCCTAAGTGACAATGTCCAAATTTGGCACAAAGTGTCAATATTTTGTGTGGCCATCATTATTTTCCAACACTGCCTTAATCCTCTTGGCCATAGAGTTCACCAGAGCTTAACAGGTTGCCACCGGAGTCTTCTTCCACTCCTCCATGACAACATCACAGAGCTGGTGGATGAGACCTTCCACACCTCCACCTTCCGTTTCAGGATGCCCCACAGATGCACAATAGGGTTTAGGTCTGGAGACATGCTTGGCCAGTCCATCCCCTTTACCCTCAGCTTCTTTAGCAAGGCAGTGGTCATTTTGGAGGTGTGTTTGGGGGGCATTATCATGTTGGAATATTGCCCTGCGGCTCAGTCTCTCTCAATGCTCTGCTTCAGTATGTCACAGTACATGTTGGCATTCATGGTTCAAATCGGCTGAAAACTCACCGTTCAGCGATGCTTCTGGGGTCCGGCAGCCATTTTCGCGCCCTCCCCTCGCTGAACGAGGGCACGAAAATGGCTGCGATCAGCTGTTCCGCGGCTTCAAAATGGCCGCCGGAACAGCCGAAAGGGCCGGGCGGAGCGTTTTCGCGCCCTTGGGAAGCAAGGGGAGAGCGCGAAAACGCTGCGCGCAGCCATTTCGGCTGTTCCAGGACGGATTAACCTCGCTGTGCGAGGCACCACTGTAATTTATATGGATGTCACTACAGATGTATGCCTACAAAGAACTATGTACAGCATAAATCTTAAGTTCTACAATCATATGCAAGCCCCACTACATTGAAAGGAATTTACTACTAGATAAGAAAATTTATTACAGTCCTTAAAATTCATGCTTTTAGAATAAAGTCACTTACAGGAGGTTCTTAGCAGTTAACACTAACTTTCTCAAAAATCCTTTCTAGCCACTACTGGATGGTTATAGATTCCCATCACTATGTAATAAAACAAAATTACCTGTGGACATCAATGGTCTCCATCAAGCGACAAATTACCCAAGCCCACAAAAGAATCAGATGATTGCAGAAGACTATTATTCCAATGAAAAATCCAGTCCCAAGAATAAGTGTTTCTAGAGGATGCGCATATTCAGCCTGCATTCCAAATGGAGCCTATAATGAAAGGAGAAAATGTGTGTAATATGTATTTTACAACACATACAAACAAAGTACTAATGTCAAACACAAGCTTTCTACTCTGGCAAAATTCTTGCCCCTTCACACTTAGACCGTGGGTTCAGTTACAGGAAAAACAGGAATGAATAAACTGGCCTACAACCAATGGCTAGTCCCAACTAAATCAATAGAACTTACAAATTCCAACTGATCTAGTTGTTTCTACTCCAGTTGAAACAAATGGATTTATTTATTAGTTTTATTTATATGCCGCATTTCTCCCAACAAGGGACCCAAAGCAGCTGACACCGAGTTTAGCTCCACCCCTATATCTAAGGATATTCACAACGCTGAAATAGTATAAAATCTTTACTGATAGGATGTAAGCTTTAGAACATAGAAATGATAGTAAGAAGTCCCATGAAAATACAGTGGTGCCTCGCTTAATGGGCGCCCCGTTTAACGACGAAACCGCATAGCGATGAAGTTTTTGCGATTGCAAAAGCGATCACATTGTGATGTGTCCTATGCAGTTTTTTCGCTTTGCGATGATCGGTACCGTTTCGCTTACTGATAATCGCAAAGTGATGATTTTTTAACAGCTGATCGGCAGTTCCAAAATGGCCACCGGGTTAAAAAAAAATAAAAAAAAGGCCGCCCGCTGTGTTTTCGCGCTGATTCCTCACTTACCGGGCAGCAAAAATGGCTGCCGTATGGAGGATTTTCGCTTAAAGGTAAGTTTTTTACCCATTGGAACACATTGAAGGGGTTTCAGTGTGTTTCAGTGGGGTTTTTTAAATGTATACCCATACAACGAAATTCACAGACACCCAGAGACCAGACACATGCACAAATATAAAATTCCCCAAACACTCCCCACCCACTAAAAGTCCCCCACTAAAAATACAAACATCTATACCGCAGGCCAAGTAACACAGTCCAACTAATTATTCACTACTGGTGGTCTTTAAGCTCATTATTAATTGCAATTATAGCTCTGGGATAAAAACTATTCAGAAAACGTGTGGTCCGAGTCTTAATTGTTCTATATCTTCTGCCAGACGGTAACAGTTCAAAAAAGTTATAAGCAGGATGGGAAGAGTCTCTCAGGATGCTGTGTGACTTCCTTTAAGGTGAGTTTAAGCCCATAGGAACACATTGAAGGGGTTTCAATGCATTCCTATGGGCTTTTTAAAATCACATAGCGACAAAATCGCTTTGCAGCGATTTTTGCTGCATGGATTATCGTCGCTATGCAAGGCACCACTGTAATAAGAAAGTGATTCAGTGCATAGAATTATATATTTATACAGTATGTTTCTCCCACCACTTTTTCAGGTCATGCCAATGAGATTTTCTGAACCTCTATTTCATCTGCCCCACTCAGTTTAGAACTAGAAGATTTTTTTTTAAAAATCATACTCTCAAAAAGGCATTATGGTACGAAGCAAGGCAGCTCCCCAACATAGGTTCAAAGCCTGATATTAGAACCTTAATTCACTTGTAGAGCAGATGTTTTGCATGCAGAAAATCCTAAGTTCACTTTTCTGGCATGGGAAACCCTTCTGTCAGATACCATGGAGAGGCATGGCCAGTGAGAGTTTACCATAGTAGGCTAGCAAACAAGTAGCTCAAGCTACTTGTTCCTAACCCAGACCAAAGCCATTTGGGAAACAACAACAAGCAGAACAGTGCATAGTTCAACAGGGGCTTCAGGACTTGTCAAACAGCTTTGAGGTGTGCTGGCACCAAAGCCAGCTAGAAGCTTCCAGCTTCATTCTTCTCCTGACCAGTGACCATCATGGTTCAGAGCAGCAAAACAGAACCCACTGGCCAAGGAGTTATCAGGTACTTTCCTTGTGTGAGCTACTAAAAGAAAAAATCACATTAATGGTTGAATGGGATTCTGGCATTTTGTTCAGCCTGACTGAAATGCAGTTTTCAAGTCCAGGCAATCACAGCCTTATTGTATGGCACAGATGAAAACAGTGTGCAAACCTACTGGTCTTTTCTCCAGATTTAAAAAAAAATCCTACTGCATTTCTGTATCTGTAACAGTATTAATTAACTAGGTAATCCATGAATTTAGAGTAATACGTACAACAAACTCATGATGCACTTTGTGGATGTACTTATATATCTTCTTGTGATGTAAGAGTCTGTGAAGGAAATAATGCCAGGCATCTTCAATCACAGCACATCCCAAACACTGGGCAAGTACCACATACCTTTGAAAGCAAGAATATTCCTTTTTAAGACAGAAGTACAATAAATCATTATTCTTTGCAAAACCAAAACTTTTTGTTGTACTTCTATTTCACAACATAAACATCACATTAACTTTATGAAATGTAAGCCCTTATTCATTGTTTGGAAGGACAGAAGTATATGCAGTATCAGCAAGTATTAGCAATATTAAGTGTTTAATATAGAGAACGATTGGGTTTTTTCCTATAAAAAACAGAGCTTAGTGAATACAGAACACAGCTCAAACTTTGTTTATGTAGAGTCCTTTGCAAAACAGGTAGGGCAAGAGTTGTTTAAGGTGCAGAATCTACGTATATTGTACCATACACAGGATCATGTTTCAAGCCTCCCCCCCCCAGGATATATTTCATACATAAAGCAAACCAGACCCCTATTGTTATCATTCATAAAATAAATACACAGTAAATGTGTTTTCAAATAATGCACTCAGAAATAATTTAATAGCCACATGAAGTACACAACAATTTATTGCATATTCATTACTCAATGCTTTTATATTTTAGGGCTATTTGTTCTTCTCATCACTGGATTTTCATTAACTTGCATTTTTATCTTGAAAGCTGCCTTGAGTGGCTCTTTTTTAACCTTTAAAGGTGCCCTAAATGTATTTTAAACAAACACATAAGACAACTGGGCTACAACCTGTGAAATGAAAAACTGAACTTGAAACTTTAAGGAAGAGATTTTAAAAGTTGGGAAAAATACACTGCTGATGGAATATTTTCCTATTTTTTCCTAAGAGATGTTTCAACTGCAATACAAACCCATTAATTTAGAGACGAAAAATCACTGCATACTATTTGCCAAAGTACAAAATAAATGTGCACTGCCAACTCTTTTAACATTACCAAAAAAGGGACATCTGTAATTAAAATATATATTAGGAGCCACAGAAAAAGTTCAGCTTGAAACTACTACATACTAAATGGCAGCATTTTATTGGTGTAAAATACAAACTAAATGGAAGGTCCATTATTTACTTACCATCTTGGCATGCTTTCCCAATCATATGGAATATTGAAATATTCTGTGAAATAATAAGTGCCACATATTAGCGGCAATTGTATACAGAAATGATTGAACATCAATGTTTTGAAACACTTCCATTGCCTTTCCCATGACTCTGGTTTATCCTACAGCCAAAACAAAACAACCAAACATTATATAGAGCATAAATAAGCACAGAATACTTATTCAATAGTCAGTGTTCAAGACAGAAAAACATAAGGGAAGAGGAACTAGATATAGGTTAAACCTTGTGGTCTCCTGTTATGGGACTGCACCGGTTATCAGCCTACTCAATTTTTGCTTTAGGATTGTTTGGTTTTAGGAAACAAAATAGTTGGACTAAAATGGGGCTTGGAGACAGGCCACAGTCCTATGATTCTATGAAGATGGGGATTGAAATATATAGAAATCTGAGTCTTTGCCCATCTGTTTTTCACCACAGAAAAAAACATCATGTATGATCTAGTTTGGTATAATGAATCAATGTTACAAATGCTGCCTTAGTGCCATTTTTGGGTCAAGAGAGAGCAATTATAGCATGAAAGGTTCAGTCCCTTATGGTTTTCATATCTGCAGTGAGCAAAGTAGTCCAGGAGAGCTACAGGAAATAAGTACACCTGAAGGACTGATTCTAAAACATGTATCTGGTAGCCTAATTTTATAGAAATCATGTATTATAGTCTGTACCAGGCAGAATACTAGAAGATACTTTATTCCACTTGAAATAGGGCTGCTTTTCAGTAGACAGTGGATAAATTTTACTGGAGCATTATGTAACAAAAATGTAAATATCTGGCCAAATGTTCAACCTCAGTTAATATTTGAACAAAACAGATATTACACAGAAACCAAGTAGATTGCCTGGGATGTACTTAATGTAAAGGTAAAGGTTCCCCTTGATATTTTTTTTAGTCAGTCATGTTCAACTCTAGGGGGCGGTGCCGTAGAGCCAGCGTTTGTCTGAAGACAATTTCCGTTGTCATGTGGCCAGCACGGCTATACACGGAACGCTGTTTACCTTCCCACCGAGATGGTACCTATTTATCTACTCGCATTTACATGCTTTTGAATTGCTAGGTTGGCGGGAGCTGGGACAAGCGACGGGCACTCACTCCATCGTGTGGATTCGATCTTACGACTGCTGGTCTTCTGACCCTGCAGCACACAAAGGCTTCTGCGGTACTTAATGACCATTATACTATTAAAAAAATACAACACTAATTAAAATTCCTAATTCACTATTTTAACACACTACTATGAATGCTCACTCAGAATGAGATTTGGACAGCATAGCCTAAATAGCATTCCTAATATCTGCTGTGGCCATGATTACTTTTCCTTGTCTTTCCAAGCAAGCCAACATGACAGTAGTTAGGGGGAAAATATTTAAGCAGATTGATACCAAGATGACACAAGATAGAAAATTAGGGCTACAATTTCTCATATAAGACAAAATTCTATCTTACCTGTTGTATTTTATACCTTTGCATATAAGGTATAAACTGAAATACAAATCCAGGCAAACATATTAAAAAATAGGAAAGTTCATGCATGAGAAGTGATCCCCAGGTTGCGATCTGGAATTTTGTGTAGTTATTCAACATATAAACCCAAGCATTTTTAAATGGTTGCTGTAGAGGGTTCTCAGGTAAGAAAGAATCAATATATTCCACAGCCAGGTAAGCAGAGCTCAGTATGCCAACACTGTCGTTAGTTGCCATTGTTTAGCTCTTGTACATCACATCAGTAGCTTCTCCACAAAATTCTTATGAACCTGCAAAATTTTAGAAAATCATAGGTAAGACATTCTTTCAAAAGTCAACACAGAACAGAATTCTTCAGGCAAAGATCTATGAAATAAGGGCTTGCTCAGCTTGGCATAAACAAATAAGTAGCGCTATTAAATAGTCATGGAAAGAAATAGGTTGATCTTGCAAGTTCCTTACAGAGGCTCTTGCTAATGTAGTAGACTGAAAGCTTACAGTAAAAATAATATTTATTTAGATGAGGCATATAATCAAATTATTATTATTTGCATTTTGTATTCAATCTGGGATAATAATAAAGAAAAGAGGAAGACTAACTCAATAGTAGAGCTCATATTTTGCATGTTGAAGGCACCATATTGATTCTCTGGCATCTATACTGAAGGAATTTTGGACAGCAGGCTATGAGAAAGGCCTTGAGATACTATGAAGGACTGCAGCCAAATTAGACAATACTGGTATAGATGGAGGGACTATATTCTCTCGAATAGTTGTTATGTGTCATCAAGTCACCTGAGATTTATGGTGACTCTATGACTGAGGCATGTCCTGTACTTCAGCTCTTGTAAACTCAAGACTATGGCTTCCTTTAGAATCATCTAATAGTGAAGTTGGAAGGGGCCTATAAGGCCATCAAGTCCAACCCCCTGCTCGTTACAGGAATACAAATCAAAGGATACCTGCCAGTTGGTGGCCTAAGTTTCTTCTGAATGCTTCCAGTGTTGGAGCACTCAACACCTCTCGAGATAATTGGTTCCACTGTGATACTCGTCTTTAGGGAATCAATCCATCTCACCTTCTCAAAGGATGACAAAATCAAATTCATAACTTTTGCTTCTAAGGGTAATTCAGTAAGAGTACCTAATGTAAATTAGTTTAGAATTGTATTTTGGGAGACTATGACTTGAAAACCAGGTTACAAGTACCCAAGTGCACCCACTTACTCCATTATCATTTCATTATAGAGATGAAATGGATGGAGCTTGTCACAAAAGAAAGCCAGACAGAAGTGGAGTTTGGCATAATTCACTGGCAACTGCTCATATAAAAGTATACGGCTATCTAGGCTCTCTGAAAATTGCTGCATTCTCTGCCATATTAATTTCCTAGTAACAGAGCGCTCCATAGTTCATCTTTCAAATGAAATACAGAGACTCTGGCTAACACAGTTTCTCAATTTCATGCGGAATTTGCTTGCAGAGAGGCTGTAAGTAAAGGTTTTAAAACTATATTTTATCTTCCTTTTACCCTTCTCCCTTCCACGTCCCAGTATTTATTAACTTCTTTGCATTTTTATTTCCCAGTCACACTTCTCACTTAAATTTAATCTTGCCCCTAATTTCTACTTTTATTTAACTATTCCTTCAGTGCTTCTATGTTCCTTTTTTCTTTCTGTTCTTTCTCCCTTTGACGCTAGTTCCATTAATAAGAATTCTATTATTTTAAGAACATTAATTTTTAAATCTTTCTTTTTAGTTTCCTTTGAAGTACTGTACTACCTGGTTCCAGTGCCTCAGAGAAGGGAGTCCACACCCCAACATCTGTGTCTCTCAGCTTCAGATGCTTATCCTTTCCCTCTCCCTCAATCCGTCCTTTGAGTACTTTTACTGACAATATTTTGCAAGGTGGATTTGATTTAAATTGGATTAATGTACAGTAAATCACAATTTAAACCACTAGCCAGCAAGCATTTTATTTTTATAAATCCAATTTAAATTTTAAAATCTTATTTCTTTTTTTATTTAAATTGGCTTGTTTAAATGTTTACTAACTAGTGATTTAAACAGTGATTATTTGACTTAAATCAAACCCACTCTGAGATTTTCTACTGCTTTTCAAGGCAAAGCTGCCTCAAAGTGATTTTCAAATAAAAAAAATAATAAAAAAAATGTAAAAATACAATTTTTCATCCATTTTCATTCCGTTCTCCTCTCACACCCAGCTGGTTACTGCCTGCCTGCCACTGGTTTCTTCTATTTCTTCCTCACACTATGTGCTACAATCTTTGCTCTCCCTGGAAGCTCCAGATTGCCATCTATTTCTATACCCTGCCCATCAAGTCTGACTCCACTCAGAGCTGATGAAGAGTGGTCAGGGCAAACAGGTTCTGAGAAGTGCTGACTTAATAAATAGCAGAACTGATGGCTAATGACACCCTGTGCTTCACAGGATTACATTAGTTTCTGCCATATATGCTATTACCTAATGAGGCTACACAGGTGAGAATTAACAGTCTCCAATGGCACTTACAGAATGGTATATGAAAACTTATCTCATTTGTGCCCAACTAAGGAATAGCAAAAGCTCCTTCACAAAATGGAGTAAGTAGAGGTACCTTAACTCCAATGCAGGCCACATGCCATCTCCTCAGTGTTATGCATGCCCTCACATTTAAATGACTCACTTGCAGCCACTCCATATAGGAGGAATACAGTACTTTCTATTGAGGAAACCATTGCATCAAGAGGAGCACCTCCCAATATGGAGCCAGTAGCTGAAGTAAGCAAACAGTAACAAGAAACATGACATTATAATTAGACTACAATGTGACTATAATGTTTAATGTGACTAGAATGCCTCATATACACATGCTGCACCCTAGATGCTCCTATCTCCTAAATTTACATTAGCCACAATAATTTTCTTGCACTTTGGTAAGAACATTAAGTATTTTGTATGTAAAATATCTCCACTTGTCCACAAGGATTTTAGAACCAGTGACAGCTAGTCATGATAGCTATGTACTACCTCCACAAACTGAGATGATATATTTCTCCACACTAGTTCTCAGCAAAGTACAGTGGGAGAAGGTTGTACTTATCTTCTGCCTGAGGGCTACCCATAAATATCAGACTAGCCACCACAGGACACTGGACTGACCTTTAGTTTGATTGAGCAAGGTTCCCCTTACAGTTAGAACAGTAATTTCAAAACATTATGCAACATCATGAAACTATTGGATTTTACAGCTCAGGGTTAGATTCTTCGTTGCATGTCCCTCAACAGATCTGCAGTAAAGCCTTGGCTCACAACCTGAGTGCAATCCCAGTGGGCTCACGTAGCCAGTTTAAGGTTGACTCAGTCTTCCAAGGTCAGTAAAAGGAATACCCAGCTTGCTAGGCAGCAAGTTGTTTGCATAAACATGTTATAAACTGCCAAAAAAAATCCTCCAAGGACCAAGAGTAGTATATAAGTCAAAACAACGTTTAACTCACATACAGGCTCTGGGTGTGTCATCTTTGATGTGCACTCCTGAATGACTCCTACGCCATGGGCAGGGTACCATACTAATCAGTGATTTCCAAGTATTTATGATTATCTTATTAGAAACAAGTTTCCTCCCCCTCTCAACAGAAAGCTAGTTTTTAGCAATAAAAAGGGGGCAGTGAGCCTTTGTGATGTACTTGGAAATGTGACATTGCATTCATTTTTATATTAATATAAAATTTGACAATGCCATTTATACCCTGTTGTCTACTGCTGGAAAGAGTATTTCTGTGCACATGTGACATACACATTTTACTAGTTTGGCATTCGTTATTGGAGAAAGAAAAGCAATAATTAGTGAAAGATTGGGGAGAAAAGCAAAACAACATTTACCAAAATGCAAAAATAACAGCAAGAACTTGAAGTAAAGAGTATATTTCCCTCCCATACGTAGTGCTGCCAAGAAATGAGAGAATGAAGTAGTTGTCAAATAAAGCATTGGTAAGAAGTGTCTTGATTTGCCTTTGTGTGTGTACCATCTCAGATATGAAGTAGCTAAAACATCCAATACAAATTCTTGTATGCACAAACAAACATTAGCAAATTACTGTATACAAACACAACTTAACCCAGACTTGAGTTAAATATGCAGAGAACTGCAATTTAATAGGTACAGCATCAATTAGAATGATTCAAGGTGTTTCCAAGATCAGCAGGAAATTACTTCCTAACGACCATAGGTAAGACAAAAATTGATTAAAATACCACAAAAGACATGACAGATCCAGGTTTAGATTTCCAATCTGAAAAGATCAGATTAGGCCAATCAACAAAGATCAGTTTAACTACTCTACTGTATTTTTGTTAGGATACAGTATTATACAAGAATTGCAAGCAGCACATACAAGAATTACATACATGATTATGTGGATGCATTAATTGTGCATCTCTGAAAAAGATTTGTTCAGGAATAACATCTTTCCAGACAGACTCTTTTCTACCAAGAGCAAATGTTAAAGATAATCCCAAGCAGACAAATCCAAAATTTGTTTGAAGCAGATAGGGGGAAAAAAAAAAGGAAAGACCAATAAAGAGGAACAGACAACCAATCTGAGTGGCCTGAAACATAAAGTCAGGAGAAAATAGCGCAGTGATTTAGATCTCTGGCTGAAGGAGCAGAGGTTAGAAGTTCGATTCCCCCGCTGTGCCTCCCTGACAGAGATTGGACCCAGGGATCCCTAGGGGCCTTCCAACTCTGAGGTTCTAAGATGATGATGATGATGATTAAAGCTGGACCCAGGGATCCCTAGGGTCCTTCCAGCTCTGAGGTTCTAAGATGATGATGATGATTATTAAAAGCGCCATATAGCGTGATATTATGTAAACGCAAGCCGAAATGACTGGAAACCGAAATCTCTGGAAACAGGCTTACTGAGAAATAAAGTACAGTATTTTTAGTACAGTATTTCGGGGGGGGGATCTCCCAAGACGACAATCTTTGTTTCCATAACTCTGATGCGAAACTTAAAATAAGGAGGTTTATGTTCTCGATCGTCATTACAAATGTCACTAACCTGACTAAACAGCCGGTTTAAGGGGAGGGAAATGACCATTCTGAAAAACTCACTTCACCTTTTTTTTGTGCCCTTTGAATGTTTTCCTAAAGTATCAGGAAAGGCAATCGTGGGGCACGCTGTGGATTTCTTTGCTCCGCAAGTCCTGCGGTTGGGCATTGGGGCTACCACAGCGGTAGCGAGGCGAACCCTATGGCTTAAAAAGGGGGAGAAAGCCGCCCACACCGAAGCTCTACAGCTGCTTCCACCCCCCCGCCCCGCCAGCACCCCGGCCTCCGAGCCCCACAGGTCCACTCACCTCAGTCAGCCCAAGAGGTCCCTTCAGCCTCCGGCATCGACAACAAGCACAAGCAGCCTCCGCTTCGACTCCTAAAATACGCTCTCCTCATTGGTCGCGCAGGTACGCCTCCGATGTTACGATTGGCGAAGGCGCGCGGCTTCGTCACGGTCAGGCGTGCGCCAGACCGAAAGCACGGCACTTCCCGCGGGTCGCCATTGGATTGAAGGATGGAGTGAGGATAGTCAGACGCCGGCAGTCAGCCAATGGTAGGGGGCGCCGGTTAAATGACGACAAGCAGGAGACGGGTAGACAGGTCGCTCCCTGAGGCGGAAGGTTACCATGGAAACCACATTCTCCTGCTCACCTTTTGTTTTTCCTCACCGAGTACTGTCCTTCGAATTAAATCAGGAGTCAAGAAGGCAGGCAGAGGAATGCGGTGTTTTCGGGCAATTCTGCATCTCTTCGCAGAGAAACAGTCGTGCAACTTTGTATTGCTGCAAAAGCAACAAAAATTCATCTTGTGGCGCGTTTAGCTGACTCATGCCAGGACGACTGCATGAGCAGCAACATTTGTGGTACTTGGCCAGTATGAACCACGGAATGCTCACTTTCAGTCCTTTTTGCATTTAATCTCCCCTAACGTCACTGTTTACAGTAGGGTCCCAGATCACGTTCAAGACAATAAACTAGTTTATTTTGGAGGCGGGCGGGGTGCTGGGAAAAGATGCCTGTCTTCAGATGGAACAATTTCGGCTTCACCAGTACTTGCCTTGAAGCATGCCTTGAATTGCAGACCCATTTCTCAATGTACAGTATTCAGTGCTAGGCTGATATCCAGTTGTGCCAGTTCAGTAGCAGAGACAATGTTGCATTTGTGGACATGCAGTGCAATTTTCTACCTAGAGACTAGTAAATAGGAACTAGAAACCAACTGCAGTGTTGTTAGAATACTCCCCCATTTGACACACACACAGGAAAAGAATGTAAAATTGTCCTGTTTTGAGGGGTATAGAGTATGAATATGTCAATAAAGAGACATAATCAAACGTGTTTTAAATTATGAACTAGAGACAGATGCATCACCTCACTGAAGATTAGGCCAGTGACAAACTATTAGTATGCACAATACCTATTTATGTTATTACATCTGGTATTGGTAGGATGCCTGATTACATTGAACAAAAGATTTTACCAGGTACAAGCCCAAGGACAAAGTGTGGCCGTTCCACATCTAGGACTGGAACTCCTATCAGCGGTGAGAAATCCAGGGATAGTAGTCAAACAGCCAGAGGACTGCACTTTGCCCAACATAGGATTCAACTAACACAGGACCTAGTTATTAGAAACTTTAGGGACGTAGAATGGTGGTGGTGTTTTCGAAAATTTGAAGGCAAGTCTTTTGAGTTTGATAAGCACAACAGCAATCTGATTTGTAAATTATGCTAGTGTTTACCTACCAAAAATGTGCAAGATATAGAGGTGAGAAAAGCACATACTAGGACAAACAGATGTCCTCATATTTAAAGGTAAAATATGAGCAGAAAATCTAGTTTGGGTTGACCTTAATAGTTACCTGGTTAAACAAAGTAAAATCAGATTTCTGCACTATTGTGACATATGGATGCTTTGATTAAAGACAAGTCTCAAATATGAAAAAGAAATATGCAAAGTTTTATTAAAGAAAAGAGATCAAAATAACAATAATTTGGTCATATTTAAAGCATCCAGGGATTAATTTTTATTTCATTTTTACAGACATGTCCACATACAGTACAAAGCCACAAATAGCAGCTAGAGTTACACAGGAATAGTTTTAAATGCCATGCAAATAAAACAGAACTCCATACATTCATTATAAACCTGCATTATGACCATGCCAAATATTAACTCCTATGACAGAGTTAAGATAGATCCAACAAAACATAACAAAGGAGACCTTAGCAAGTAAGGACCACCAATACATAAGTTAAAAACATTTTGGCATTAATATTTTTGTAGCATTTATTAGTTTTAAAGCACTAGTAAATATCAAAATATACACCTCTGTTTTACAACATAGAACTGGCATACTTCAAAGTACCATCTCAATTATAAATAGTATCATTAAGTTCCAGAAAAAAAATAAGGAAAAGATACTTACACACACTTAAATTTGCACACAATTGTAATGTACCAAAAAATGATTTAGAAAAGCAATCAGGTTCTCACATCAGCTCGTAGTACTATCATAGGATTCAATAGATAATACTGTGGTGGGGTTCAGAAATACATAGGAATTCAATGCCTTCATCACATCCACCCAGGATATATCAGTAATACTTTTCCAAACTGTGCAAGTCCCTCAGCCGAGAACAGGAGAAAGGTTTTTGGAGCAGTGGATGAGTTTCTATGAATGATTTGTTGTATGTTTCATAGTCAAAATCAGTCATAATCACCTTCATTTGAACCCAATTACTGGAGTAGGAGGGCTGAGGGCTTTGGGAATAATTGTCCTATTTGCAGCTTGTGGATCTTGAGAACACAAGGAAAACATCTGGAATAATGGGGATAAACACCTGCTTATTTCTCCTTTGCACTTTCTGGCAGATTAAATATGCCAAGATAGAAACAATGCATTGGTCAAGAAAAATCATTAACCCCTCTTTACAGGAAGGAACTGCCCATCTCCTCTGAGAAAAAGAATCCATTAGTAAGACTTTTATTACTATCCTTCACCCAGGAGTTCTGAAAAACTATAAATCAATCTCAAATTTATCATTCTTGAGTAAGAAGGGATGCACTGTAACTTCAGACATTCCTAGATGACCCTGACTATCAGGGCCTGTTTTAGTTGGTTATAACTAAGACAGTTACCTAAAAAGATGACCTACATTGGGGATTGGACGACTGCCTGGTTCTGAGAGCACTGTGTTCTTATTCGGCTGTATTCTGAAGGTGGTGTTTGGAAAATTACTATTTCATACTTTTGCCTTGGGTATATGGGGTCACACAAGTTTCTGTTCCCTAATTATTCAGTACTTTCATGAAACTATGGGTAGAGCACCTTCTAAGATTTTCAGTGACATTTCACTAATATGCTGATAATACCAGTTCTACTGCTTATCACCTATAAGGAAGCAATCTGATAGTTTAGAATGCTATTTGAACTCAGTAATGGATTGGATGAGGTTGAACAAGCTGAAACTAAAACTTTTGTAAGATAAAGATACTGCTGACAATAAAAAGGTCTGTAGGCACCTTTCTGGAAAAGGCTGTACTCTTCCTGAAGAGTCAGGTTCATGATCTGGAAATATTTCTTGGCCCTGTGTTATCTCTGGACTCCTTGGTTGCTGCAGTGGTGAGGTGTCGTTTTGCTTAGTACTATTTGACTTGGTGCACCAGCTGCAACCTTTCTTGAGATGACTTGGTTCATGCTTTAATTTTACCACAACTTGACCACTGTAGTGCACTTTATATGGGCTTACCTTTGAAAATGTCCAGAAAACTGAGCTGGTGAAAAATGATGCAACTGAACTACTAATTGGTGCATGGCATCAGGATTATATATTTGTCTGATATTGGAAGATTTATGTCATCGCCAGGCCTAATTCAAGGTGCTGTCTTTGACTTTTAAAGTAAACTAGGGGACAACCTAATACATTATGGGCATGTCATGATGTTAAGATGTTTAAGAGACTCTCTTGAGAATACTATCAAGAGATGCTATACTGTGAATTCCCACTTGATGGCAATACAGAAGAGAGCATTCTCATGTGTTATCTCCAGACTATGGAGCCCATTCCTCTCGGAGCTGTGATCCATTCCCACTCTCACAGCTTTTAAGAAGGGTGTGAATTTCTCCAACCTGCCCTTCTAAACTGTTCTAATGTTCATGGGTTTATTGTTTAATTTGTTTTAGTAGTCCCTTGAGTACCTTATAAGTGAAAAGGAGGCATAAAAATGTAATAAACCAATACCCCTCCAGGACACCTCCAATTCATCAATATTTCTCTTTTTCTTAGGAAAAGAAAAACACGTTTATTTTCACCAAGACAGACTACTGTATCTTCGACTTTAAAAAAATCAGTGTCAACCATGAGAGACATGATTGGTCCTTAAAGAAAGGAGTTTTTGTCCAAAAGTCCAGCAAATAAGATATGTGGTCCATACAACTTTGCTACATCTCAGTCAGATGAGCTTAATGTCAAATAATGCTACACATTGCTTCAGCCTAGAGTAATCTTCATTTTCATCCTTAACTGTAGCAGATCACAGCTTCCAACATGTCTCAATGTGGACAAGTTCAGAAGTGCTTTGAGGCTCAATCGCTTCAACAGTGCTTATTCAAGCTTGCTTCTGGTGCATGATCAAGGTGAGAAAAATATCTGCACCAACTCACAATGGTTTATCAATAACAGTAAGACCTAGAGAAAAAGAGAGAGCAGTAAGACTTGAATTCTTATTTAGTGGGCTATTCCAATACTAGTAGGGTAACCTTAATATTGCAAAGTCTCATATTTTTCTGTTTATAAGATGACCCCTCTTCTCTAATGCAAAATTAGAAAAAGCAGGGATCAAAGGACCCCCTTTTTGCTAAGCCCCATGCCTTGGCAAAAGGCAAGGAAATCGGCTGTCAAAGTGACTGCCACTTTTCCATGCCTTTTGAGAAGGCACGGAATATAGCAAAAAGGAAGGGAGCAACACCTCCACTTCCTTTGTGCTAAGCCCCATGCCATTGCAAAAGGCAGCAGTAAAGAGCTGCCTTCTGTGTATAAAATGACCCTCAATTTTTCCCCTCAAACTACTTAAGCAAAAAGTGTCACTTTTATACACAGAAAAATAAAGTATTTCTGTTCAGAAGCATTTCACATACATCCTGTTTTAACAATCTTGTAAAGTAGGGGTAGGGAACTCCTTTCAGCTTGCAGGCTGCAAACGTAAGTAAGTTTTCATAAGTAACTCAGGTAAGTTCTTGAGGGCGGGCTGCATTCTGGGGTGTGTGTGATGCCAAAGGCCAAAGAGTGGAGTCAGAAATACCAACATATTTCAGCTTAAAAGCTTTCATTGGCAGTAATTAAGAATCAGAAAAGGCATTTCAAACTTTCATAATGTGGGCAGGGCAGTACAGTACAACCATCAGAAAACTACAGAATTATAGTGTCATGAGGAAAACAGCACAGCCATCTGGAGAAAACTAGAGGGCCCAATTCAGTCCCTGCACCTGAGGGTCCCTGCACCTCTGAAAACAGATGCAAGATTTCCCATTCTGCAGATGTTAAGGCTGAAAGAGTAGAATGGTTTGAGTCTACTCTTCAGCTATAAATCCAGGTTTAGCAACATTAGTAAATTTAAAAGCGAGATGAGCCCCTGTTATTTTGGAAAGTTCTGGTAATTGGGCAATTTGTTTTATACATTCAGTGGACCCCTTTACTCTTTTAGACAAGAGCCATTAGCATCAATTTGGCATTGTTGCAAACAAGGCTCATCCTAGTTATGCCACTATTGAAACAGTGGTATTTTAAAAAACAGGCAGTTTTTTTAAAAATTAAATGTTAACATCTGGATTTTTGTTGCTTAGTCATTAAGTCGTGTCCGACTCTTCGTGACTCCATGGACCAAAGCACACCAGGCCCTCCTGTCTTCCACTGCCTCCCAGAGGTTGGTCAAACTCATGTTAGTAGCTTCAATGACACTGTAACATCTGGATAACACTAATCAAATCTTCTAAAAATGAAATTCCAGAGCAAACCGAGTACAAGATTACATTCTGCTTTCATAGTACAGAATATGGTGTGCTTATTTGAGGCTAACTTACATGTCACCTCCATTTATCAGCCTAGAGAAGAAAGGAGGAGTGTTTCAGATTTGTTCATTACCTGCATAGCTCCTTCCTGTACTCATACATGATGATAAAACTGTCCACTTATCTGTTGTTGGGTTATAGTATTCCACTGTTGCCAAGTTACAGGACCCATCATCTCCTCCAACTACATATAAGAGCCCATTCACAGCACAAACCCCTAATACAAAAGAGAAATACTTCATTAGGCAACATTTGTCACCAGAAGCAGTAAATATTGTCTTTCTGAGTTATCAATTTGTGATTGCACTGTTACTCATCTGTTTCTGGGGACATATATGCCTTCCACCAGATTTGCATTTGGGGCTAGTTATTTCTCATCATTCAAAACTACTGTAATTTATCATGTCTATTGCTGTTCAGTTTTATGAGGAACAGGGGCAGAAGAGTTACATTAGACTTCTCCATATTCAATCCAGATCATTCAGGTACAGAGACACACTAGCATGGTTATATAATCATACAATGCCTTCCTAAGAGCTGGTGTCTTCTCTCTATAATATATTATGTATATTATACACTATCAGCTGATACGTTCATTATCAGCTGTAATACCTACCTGCATTTCTCCTACACATGTTCATATCTGCAACCTGCTTCCATGTATTGGTGCTGGGATCATACACTTCAACACTTTTTCTAACTAAAGGACCATCATGACCTCCCACTGCATATAGTAAGTTGTTTAAGACACCAACACCTACAAGGATAAAAAGTAAAACTGGTTAACAGTTAAGCTGCGGGAGGTGAAATCTGTCTATTTGTGAAACAATATCAAATTTCACAGACCCTGAAAACTGTAAAGGGGGAGGGAGGAAATTACTCAGTCACAACAACCTAATCCAAGTATTGAGTTTCAGACTAATAAACACTCATTATTGCTTTAGTGCTTTAAGTGTTTTAAGGATCTTCACATAATCAAGTTATCCTTACAGCAGCCCTGAAAAGTGAGGCTGGAACCTGTTCTCTTACATGATCGCATAAAGGCAATTGCACGAGCATATCTCACCCACTGGCAGACTCTCCGTTGTGCAAACAGCCAAACACTGATTGCTAAAACAGTTACACAACCAAGTTAGTGCAGGAGGTGCATCAGAGGGGGAAAATCCTCATCATGGCGCATGACCAACTTCAAAGTTTCATAGCACCTGAATAAGACATTGATCTACCTCAAAATCTTTATCTCCATACTGAGAATGAGCATATGAGGCTAAAGGTGACTCACTGAATGCCATCTAATGAGTTTATGAAGAGTTGCATATTGAATCAATGACTGCCTGGTTCACAGTTGGCTTACAGCCACTATGCAATAAAAAGCCAAAAAATAGGGTAGCTTGTTAACAGATGATAGGATGTGGGTACTGCTGGATCCCACAACAGATCCCACAAGCTAAGAAAATAGAAATTAGTGAGAATTAACGTTATACCTATATGCAGATTATACTTACCACGGTCTTCTTCAGAACACTGACATGGAGCAGCAACAGATCCTTAACATGGGCAACCACCTGCCCACATTTTATCAAGTGTCTTGTAACTATTGGTACAAAACCACCATGCATGCATTTTTCCATGACACACCTCAAGAGCTCTCATTTAAATTTTGCTTGCTCACCTGCTCCACTACGTCTAGTACTCATTTCTGCAACGTAGGTCCATTCATTTGTACTACAGTTATAGCATTCCACTGTACTAAGGCACTGACGTGATGCACCATCATAGCCACCAACTGCATACAGCATACCTGGAAATATGACCAAAATATGTATTCAGCGTAACTGAAAAAGAATAAAACTATTTAGACTACACAGGTGCATTTGATAATTTATGCTAATCAACATGTGTAATGCTGTAATTCTTGTTTTCACTCCCCTATTAAGCAGGGGCTTTCTGCTATATAAAAGTACCATCACTTTTAAGATGGTGTGTACCCTAGTCCTCCAGCTGTTGGGACAGCAACTTTCCTAATTCCTCACAGTTGCCTATGCTGGATTAAGGAGGAGTGCAGTCCAACATAGGGAAGGCAATAAATTTCCAATTCTTAATGTAAAAGATAGAAAAAATAGTGGAATCATTGTCTAAATCAGTGTATAAAAAAAGATAGAAAGCAAGTTATTTAGCAGGAGTATTTTCTTTTCTTTCTTTTTTTTGAATGATCCAATCATTAAACTTTTCTTCTATCCATAAACAAAGCAACAGCAAAACATATTTATATCAGGGTTATAATCTCCAATGATGCATGATCCGAATTGTTAAAGAATTATCATTTGCATTTTTCCTGGAGTTTTTACAATAGCAAGTTTACTTTACAGTTCTATGGTTCTTTCATTGTTATAATGGAACTTATAAATAATGCTTCCTTATTTAGCAATGTCATTTTTTTCCTTATTTAATTAGAAGCGCTAAACAGCAGCTTTCTGTGAAAAAAATAGCTGTAAATAAATGGAGACTATGTAGAACACAACTTGAGAAACCTGCTTCATCTTCAGTTTGGACCAAAACAGTTTTAAAATTATAATTTTTAATCTTCACTTCATTTTTGTACCATAATACACACTAAAATCTCCCGCCAAATACAGATCAGTGTATTTACAACTATAAGAAAGTAGTCATGGAATTCTTTATGGTCCAAAGTAATATGCATAAGGCTAAGAGAACACTGTGGACCCCCAGATGTTGTTAGAGTACAATTTGTCTTAGTCCCAATTAGCACAGCAAACTGTTTGGGATCTTCCATCATTGGCTATGATGGTGGGCTGCTGGGAGTTGCAGTTTACCCACGTCTGGAGGGCCACACCTTCCCCAACCAGGGTATAGAGCAAAATTTGAACTTTGCAATAGCAGCTGTTGCTTAGCTTAAGGAAGTAAGGCAGAATTCTTGAAGCACTGGTGGCTGAAGAGAATCTCAGGCTTTGATACTACTTGATTCATTACATGGGGGATAATGAAAGAAGACCCTAAAGAATCTGAGGGATGTGGACACATTTGAGCATCCCTTGGACAACAACAGCTCTCTGCTGGCTGATCCTTCCACTCTGGAAGCATCAATGGATTGCTTCTGACAGAAACAAAAACCAATCTTCATTCTATAGGATGACTAACCTGCCCATAACTTTAAAAGATGCTGATTGAAAGTAAGGCAGCTTTAACAAGACTGTCCAAAATTAAAATCATTTTCTCAAAAAAAGTCCAATAATTTTTTTCATTTATTTACAAAAGCATCTGGAAACCTAAGCTTTTAAGAAGAGGCAATATTTATCTGAAGCCAATAGAAATGAACTGTCTTTGATGCTGATTTTTATAACAAGCAATACAATTCTAATTATTCTTTGTCACAATGAAAGCTAATAAATAAATGAATAAATAAAAAATTAGGGTGAATAGGAAATTTAAAATCCAGCAGATGGCACTGCTGAGTCTAACACAACTTTCAAAGAGTAGGCTGCATGCTGCATTCATGGAATGACTAGTCTGCTTTATAAACTTTGCTTCTTCTGCATATATACTGCAACTAATATTTAACATTGCCAAGAACAGTATGTCACACAGACAACACACTCAATTTACTCAGGATCTTACCTCCAACTACACCCACACCAACACTACTTCTCCTTGTGTTCATTGGAGTCACATGAAACCATTCATTAGTCTTCATATTATAGGCTTCTACTGATGATAAACCTGTAAGAGGACAGAATAGAAAGCTTGAAAGGATGAAAATATTACTCAGCCTTATTTTCCCATGAATGATCAATATGAATTATGAACACTTTCCTATTCAGAAAAGAAAGGCGTATCATTAAGCTGCTAGCAGAACACTGGACTGCTTGACTTACTCAGTTGAAATACTGTGTGAACAAATGTACAGATGCACTCCCATGGAATGAATTTTATACATAATGTAGAGTAGGTGCTGGTATAAGTGGAGGACTTTTTCAGTTGAAAAAGCAGAATTAAAACATGGTGAAAAGCGGATTTAAAAGAAGGGAACTTTCAGAATAATTTAAATGCTGAATCTTTTACGGTGCAAATCTAAACAATTCAATCCTTCCAGTGGGTAGTGTCTTCTAAGAGGTGTTTCTATATTTTAAAAAAAGCAGCATGTCCTATATGTGTTTCAAGTATTATCTTCAGGGAAAAGGGCTAACATGAACCATGGAACTATAAGACCAGCTCCTTAAAGGAAAAATCCAAATAGCCAATGGACTATTATGAAAATATTATATGTACCTGTACTCCCATCAAATCCCCCCACAGCATACAGAAGCCCATTTAATACAGCAGCTCCCAAAGTGCTTCTTCTGTCTTGCATATTAGCCACACTTGTCCACTGGTCCTTCACGGGATCATACGAGTCCACTGTGCGAACCCTCAAGGAGCCATTGAACCCACCAACAGCAAACACAAGACCATTCATGTATACCACTCCTGAAAGAGAGAGGATATATATATATATATTAATATGTCAGTCTCTCCAAACTGTATTTGAAAGTCAGAGCTATCTGCATTTCATTCATACACCATATACATTAAACGGTTTTTGTAGCTACCTGCTCTGCATCTTCTGGAAGGCAGCTCAGCAACCTGATGCCATCGTTCTTCTTTAAAATCATAACACTCCACACTGCGAATAGCTTTTGGTGCTTGTCCTCCAACCACCACCATCAGCTTTAAAGGGAAACAATATCCAGTAAGCAACCAAACTGCTTGTTCCCATGAATATACACAGCCACTGAAACAGTCTTTGTTCTTACATCATCAAGCAACATGATAAAGAAAAATTACAGGAGACCTATGACTCCGTATTATCTATCGCCACAAAATGGCAAGGCTGCAAATGGCTTAAGCTGAGCATGAAAACGTAGGTGTAGATGCAAACACAATCCCATCATATTTGCCTAACACTTCAGAGGGCAAAGGCAGAGAAAAAACATATTTTAGGGCCATGTTTAATTTCCTTTAGGGCTCTTTTCTTTTGAAGCGTCTTCTTCTGAGGATCTTCTTAGGAGACTGAATCCCACTACCAAGAATATCCAATGATTAATATAGAACTCAGGCGATGTCCTTCAAGTTCAGTAAGTTTGCCACCACCAGCTATTTGGGGTTCATGTTCAACAGCACAGTTCAAGGGTTCCCTGTTCAGTGGTCACCCTTGCATATTGTCCATGTGGCACTCTAACTATACATGCAGCGACACTATTTCACCAAAAGGTTGGAGTTCTCAATGACTGATCAGATCTCCCTTGCAAACCTGCACATCAATCTTGTCTGTTGCAACTGTAACTTCTGCATTAACTTCTCACAGAACACAAAAAAGAAGCCAGTCATGATGGACCTTACCTTTGGAAGACAGGCTGGTGTTCTCAGCCTTGTCCGTGTGGTCTTCATCAGAGCTCTTTGCTCGAGCGGCAACAAGTGATACTTCATTGCTTCAATGAGGTAATCCTTGCACGCACTGCTATTTTTAACAAGTGCCTCTTCTTCAACCCTCTGTGCATTGTAGACACATTAACATGGCCTTAGTAAATTCCGCTATGCATGTGAGCACTGGCTAATCTAGTTTGGTAGAGCTTACGGTTCCTGCATGAATTATCTGCATTATACCAGACTATTTGCATTGTTCAGTCAGAAATTTCAACATGTTTTCCAAGGAATTTGAATCAAATGAAGGCAAACTAGTTCAAAAAGGTAGATGCTGGAAAAATAGAAGCAAAACACAAAAGTAGCACAGAAACCATACCCTAGCAAAATATGGAGCCAATTGATTAACTCTACCTGCTCATGTTTGGCAACTGTTATTTGGAATTTTATTCTATAAAGAGATTATATGATCTGTTATGCAAAGATAACTTTCAATATTTTTTCTGCAATACACAGATATAGTTAAGTAATTAACTCAATGGAAACAAAAAGATATACAAAGAAGAATGAATATTGCTTTTTATTATTTTTTGCTAAGTATTTCTAATATGAATATATGTACACACAAAAATTAACCTTTTTAACAGAAAATGGAGACTGCACACACCAACACACATTGAACCAAAGTATTCTGTTCCAGTAAACTGCAGATTCAGAGAGCATTAAACAAAACCATGTAGATATTATTTCAATTTGGAAATTTTGCTAGTCAGACTATTTCAGTTATTCCTCAGTTAAAGACATCACATACATACTGTGTATTAAATATGTTTAGTTTCACATATGCCAAAAGGTCCACAGGAGAAAAAAGGGGGGCAGATTGAAGGTTGGGTACCTTACCCCCAGGACCCCCCCCTAGGCTGCACTACCCCTCAAAAGGCTGAAAAATAACGAGAATGTCCAAAAATTAAGAACTCAAGGCACATGTCATCTTGCTTTTAGTTTCACGGAGGCTGTATTTTATTTTATCACAAAGTTACCGCTAATTATATTTTTGTGCCAAATTCTTTCCTGACAGGGCCAGCAGAGTTCACCCAAATGTCCTGAAGCAGATGCATGTATCTGAAGGTGTGCATATGTGTGTGCGGTGCGTCTGTCTGCCTCCCTCCCTGCCCATCTTTCCTATACTCCAAGACCATGAAATCTAGACATCAAACTAAGGACCTTAATAGTTCAGCCCTTAATAGCTCATACTGTTATTCAACTGTTGTTTGTTATTGTTGCATAACGGTTGTGTGGCTGTCATCTCATCTCATTTGTTCTTGTTCTTCATAATTTTTATCATTTTCATCAAAAAAGAAAAAAAGGGCACATGGAAAGGCAAAGTCCCCCCCCCTCTGGTTAGCTGTCCTTAATGAGGTCAGTTACATATTTGATTTCATTACAGTGGGGTCTTGACTTGAGAACTTAATCCGTATTGGAAGGCGGTTCTCAAGTCAAAGCTCATACTGTTATTCAACTGCTGTTTGTTATTGTTGCATAACGGTTGTGTGGCTGTCATCTCATCTCATTTGTTCTTGTTCTTCATAATTTTTATCATTTTCATCAAAAAAGAAAAAAAGCGTACATGGAAAGGCAAAGTCCCCCCCCCCCGCTCTGGTTAGCTGTCCTTAATGTGGCCAGTTACATATTTGATTTCATTACTAGTGTGTGACCATTTGTGTCATTATTATTTTTTTTGTTAAAACCTTCATTTTTAAAAACCTTACCTGAACCAGATATTCTCGGGAGAGCAACGGTAGACGAACGTGTTCCATCAGCCGTGCCATGAGCTCCTGTCGCACATCTTTGTCATGGTTAACCCAGGCTATCACTGCTTCAAAAACCTTCCAAAATATAAAATGCAGTATGAGTTTTGCACACTTTTCCATTTGGGCAAATTCACCCAGGTCCCATTTTGTCAGTGAAATCCTCCATTCTGGAAGAGAAGGGAATTTCCACCAATGGGCAGTACAACAACTAGAAAAAAAACAGTTTGGGAGCAGACAGAATTGCCTTGCCCCACACCAAAGTCGGACACAAAGCGAAGCCAGAGCTATTGTCATATGCTGACTGATCCACAGCGACACCTGCCTTTTTTTCCAAGGTAAAAGATACTAATTCTTGAAGAAGGTCAGAAAGAACGTCATGCCAAAACTCCTTCTCTGAGCAGAGCCAGCCCAAGGCAGTTTGAGGTGGAACAGCAAAGAGACAGTTAGCAACAGTATACATATAAAAATGTGCATCAACTTACTTCAGTCAATGGGGGAGCACATAAAAAGGCATGGAAAATCTACAACAACAACAACAACAACAATAATAATAATAATAATAATAATAATAATAATAATAATAATGTACCATCAAGTCAATTCTGACTCATACTACCCTTTTCAGGGAAAGAATACTCAGAAGTGGTTTACCATTTCGTTCTTCTGGGGGTGGTTCCGTGACTGTGCAGCTTAGCTTACCCAAGGCCACACAGGCTGGCTCTACTCACAGGAGGCACAGAGAGGAGGAATTGAACTTCTAACCTCTGCCTTTGCAGCCAGATGTCTAAGCTGCTATACTGTCTTTTAGTAAAAATGAGTACCGAAATAGGCATGAATTTCTATGTGGCAGGAATAAATCTCACAACCAAACATGGAATTGGGACAGGATGAAATTGCCAGTGGGATTCTGAGGAATGCAAAGAAAAGGAAACTGACATATATATCCTTATTTCAAGATGATAATGGCCCTTCTTAATTCTCAGTGACCTCATTTGGGCAACAATCCCACTGGCACATGCAACCCGAGTTTGAAATTACTGTAGAAGGATTTTACATAAAAGCTCCCATGCTAAATGTTTCTGCAATCTAGATGGATGCTTAATAAAAAATTCAGTTCAACTTGCAATTTGGGTACTAAACAAAATCTGCTGAGGATTTAGTTAAGGGATAAAAGTCACGCAGCTCTAAAAGTGGGCCGAGATGTAGGCTGACAGTACTGCCCTGCCGCCAAGTCTCAGAATCGGACTACAAGGCTGAAGTGAGGTGTCAGCCCTTACTAAAGGAAGAAACCCACACAGAACTAGGGCATGTGGCAAAACAAAATGATCACAACAGTTTCTCCATATGTCAAAACGCAGCACATGGTTTGCTTAACCTACGTCTTAGCCCACATTCAGTGTCGTGTGATGTTGTCTTGTGTTGCTATTAGCATTCAAGTAATGATGTCATCTTTGTATCCTTTTTTTAAAACCGCTGTGGACACATTTGGTCAAAAGGCAGGCTTAAAAATATTTCAATTAATGTAAGGAAGTTTGACAGGACAGCAAATCTATAATAAGCAACATTCAGAGCCAAACCAGAGGTAACGGTCCCTGGCTCATGTTTATTTTTACCCCCCAAAGCTAGAGATACAACATTTAAAATGGAAATCAAGTGCACGGAAGACTATGTCAAAGCCATGCCTTTCCTTATGCCTTTCCTTCCCCATTTCCCAGCTTCCTCTCTGTGTTGAGCTATTTTCTGTTGCAGGGCCCAGAGAAAGAAAGAAAGAGTGACCCTGCAGCATCAAGCTGCAAGATATGGCAAACCTGCAGAAGACCTTCTCCTAGTATGTCTTTTCCTCTTAGCGAACATACATATATACGAACATGAATACTTTATTGCTTTGTAGCTGATCAGGTTATATGCAAGGACACAGATTAAACAATCATAAAATATGTATTCGTGAAGGCTTTCACGGCTAGATTAAACAATCATAAAATAGTATTTGCCATCGTGTGCAAGTACATACAAATAAACATAAAAGGCATAAAATGATAGAATAATAGTAGTAAAATGTAACAGCATTCTCAACGAAAAAAAGGGGGGGGGGAAAGAATTAAGATGTGAGATTAACTTGAAGAATTTATGAAGCAGGCAGTAAATTCCACCTTACCATGGCTTGTTTAACAAATTTAGCAGTCCTATAGGATATATGTAGTTTTTGCCAGCTAGCAAGAACAGGACTGTGAATGGAGGGGAAGTGTTCTTGATCCCAGATGTTAAGGGCTTTAGATATTGATCCCTCAGATATGCGTACAGAGAACATTCTGTTAGAGAGTGTAACATGTTCTCCACTACAGAGCATCTTGTAGGCCAATGTCCGTCTGTACCAAAGGATCTAGGAGTCTTGGTGGACCACAAACTGAACATGAGTCAGCAATGTGATGTGGCTGTCAAGAAAGCCAATGCAATTCTTGGTTGCATCAATTGGGAGTATAGTGTCTAGATCAAGGGAAGTGATAGTACCGCTCTATTCTGCTTTGGTCAGACTTCATCTGGAGCACTGTGTCCAGTTCTGGGCACCTCAATTCAAGAAGGACGTTGACAATCTGGAATGTGTCCAGAGGAGGGCAACGGAAATGGTTAAAGGTCTGGAAGCCATGTCCTATGAGGAGTGGCTTAGGGAACTGGGAATGTTTAGCCTTTCAAAAAGAAGGGTAAGAGGGGACATGATAGCCATGTTTAAATATTTGACGGGATGTCATGTTGAGGAAGGGACAGGTTTGTTTTCCACGGCTCCAGACACTAGGACAAGGAGCAATGGTTTCAAACTACAGGAAAAGAGATTCCACCTGAATCTCAGGAAGAACTTCCTGACAGTCAGAGCTGGTTGGCAGTAGAATCTGCTTCCTCGGAGTGTGTGGTGGAGTCTCCTTCTTTGGAGATTTTTAAGCAGAGGCTGGATGGCCATCTGTCGGGAGTGCTTTGATGGAGTTCCTGCATGGCAGGGAGTTGGACTTGATGGCCCCTGTGGTCTCTTCCAACTCTGTGATTTTATGATTCTGTGTTGGTCAATGTAACATCCCTGAATCACTTTCAGCTGCAACGAGTTCAGTCTGCACCTAGTTAGCAGTTTTCTCTATTTATCCCTTATTAGCTCACACGCACTGAGAAAGAGGCAGTTTTCGAAAAGGTGAGGAAAAGCCTTTGTATATCCTATTGGACCGGCAACAGACTACAGATGCCATGGTAGGCTGGATATCAATATCATATACTCTTTTCATGATATCTTCTCAGGCAACCTCATATCCCCTCCTATGGAGGTAGGCTGAGAAGTAACCCAGCTTTATGACTGTGGACATCTTAGATGCCCAAGAGTTCTCCTATGATTGTGGACATCTTAGATGCCCAAGAGTTCTCATTTCTTCACAGAGAACACACACATGATGCCTCTGTCATATGTTATTTGGTCTCATGATAATCCAAATCTGCTTCCAACTTAGGGGGAGTTACCTTACCTTTTCCTCTGATGTAATCATCAGTTTGTCACTAGATATTAAGCTGCACACTTGTTCTATACCAAGATTCAGAAATTCTTCACTAAGTACAACCTCGGTAAAGTGCTGTTCTGTTTGAAAAAAAAAATTCTTTATAAATATACACACAACTGTAGTATCACCATCAGATTTTTCAAAAGCCGATGTTACAAAGATTCAATACACAGTACAAAGTTTTCACTCAAACATTAATGACTCTGTATATAGATGAAACTGTCCAGTGTATTCTACAGTACAGAACACAGATTCAAAAACCAGCCAATTTTGATTAGTGCACAAAAATAGAAAATATGTTTTGCATGAAATATGATATTGTTCCTGAATTGAGAATGTATAAATCGCAGTAAGATCACTGTTACAAAAGATGGCATAGCATTAAAGAAAAAGGATTCGGGAACAGCAAAAGTTGAAATCATCACGGTACCAGGAAACGAAGCCTAGAAGTCAATAGGTAGCACCCACAAGTGAATTACTGTTATTTTGTTCTCCCTTCCTTTTCTCTAAAATATATTCAATGCATGCTACAAAGCCAATTTAAATAAAGATTTTTTAAAAATCCTAAACAGCAGCACTAACGTATCATATATATAATCAGCTGTTTTAAAAACAAGTGCTAGTTCTGCTGATCAAAACATCTAGTGTCATATCCGTAACACAACAATATGAGATTAAATGTTTTGAAGCAACTTAACTAGCAATGGTTTTTAACGGCTAATTACCTAGTAAGACCTCACTCAAACAGAAGTGGTCAAATCACCATCTAACAATAGAAAGGAGGAAGAGACGGATGGGAAGAATTCCACAGTCTCACAATTTGCCTCCTACCCTCCAGTGCGTTTTTAAAATCTCAATTTAATTTTTTTTAAAAATTGGATTTTTTTTGCCAATTTAAATTAAAAAACATTTTTATTTAAATAAAACAGATTTTTAAAAATCACTGATTTTTATCCACCCTAATTCCCACCATTTTTAATGTTCTGATCCTTGTGCTGATCCTTTTGGAGCTAAAACAGCACAATTAGCCACAACAGGGAGATACCTAAAGACGTGTTGTAGCTTGAAGCTTTGTATCGAAAACAAACAGTAATTCAACAATTTAAGAAAGATCACCGTCTTAGGCTTTGACTACACGGGCAAGCTGAATTCGAGCAATTGGGCTTTGCTGTGACTTGAGTTGCAGCCTATTTGACTTTTCTATTCAGATTCAGTGATCACATGGAGACCATGGATTCTTTTGGTCCCAGTGCCCACCATGGCCCCTCAGTCCTATGTAGTATGATCCACAATATAGCCCCCTCTTCTTTGATCTCGCCCTCTGCTACTCCCTGGTTCTCCTTTCCCAGTGCCCACCATGGCTCCTCAGTCCTATGTAGTATGATCCACAACACAGCCCCCTCTTCTTTGATATCGCCCTCTGCTACTCCCTGGTTCTCCTTTTATGGTTCACTGTAAAGCTGGTGGGCTGTTTAAACCATTGCATGGCTTTAAGGAAAAGGAACAGTTTGTTGAAGTTCTCCACAATGTGCAAACACCCATTCACATACCAAAGAAACATAGTAGTGTGATGTAGTTCATCACAGTTATTTCTATTTCATATTGATTTTAACGTTTTTTAAAAAAATCTGTGCAGAAGTGATCTAGTGCTAAACTACCCATTCACATACCAAAGAAACATAGTAGTGTGATGTAGTTCATCACAGTTATTTCTATTTCATATTGATTTTAACGTATTTTTAAAAAATCTGTGCAGAAGTGATCCAGTGCTAAACTAATAGTATATCAATGCAGGGATATGGTGAATTAGCACTAAACATGGTAATTTATTTTAAATATATATATCAGGGTGACTAGGGAGAAAGATCACAGGGATGGGGGCATTTCCATTGCAAAAACATCACGCCTAGCTTAGGACATCACCAGAATACCAGCCAAAGTCATGCCCCCCTCCCAACCTTCTGGAGAATGAAATAACCAATCACAATGGGTAAAACCTGTTCAAATTGCTCTGGCTTGAAAAAAAAAAGTAGAAGCCCCCCAGTGGTGGGGGAAAAAACTCGGCTTCAGAAGCAAAAAGGGCCAGACTAATTTGAATTGGCCATATCATTTGATCAGTTTTCAAAAAACTGAATGCATCCATTTACTTCTGCAGCAAATTCTGCACTATTTACACAGGTAGTTGCAGCCTTAGGTAGTGAACCTATTCACACACACTAGTACTGGCCTCCATGAGTTTCTGTAGCAAACTGCCTATTTTACAGCATCAAGTTTTCTGTTCCCCCTCTCCACCTCATACAAGCTTTTCAATGGGGGGAATATAGGACATTTGAAAAGGCAATGCACTCACTGATCAGCTGCCTGTCTAGAATACAGTCGGTTGCCCAGGAGACCTGGTTAAGTATATGCTGTATTCTCTTCTGAAAAGCAGCAAGCGCTATATGAATTATACTGAATAAACCCATTTTAATACAAGGTGAAAGGGAAAGGGATTTTTCTGCCACTTTGTCATATTTCATCTTCTAGGACCATGGCTGGGCTGAATGACAGAGCAGAGAGTTTTCCCAAAGAAACTGGCTCTAGTCTTTCCACCAAACTGTAGCTTCCGCAGGGAACGGCAGCCAAGGATAACAGGAAGACTTTAGCAAGGCTGCTTTGCACTCTGACTGTTTTAACCACTGAATCACTGATATGTTAGGAGCCAAGTTCTCTCTTTTTTAAAAATAATAATAATCAAACAATGGCATTACTGGAAAAAAACAGATTTACAAAGAAAATCTTTTGCAAGGCAAACACAATGTTGTGTTACTCCATTCTCCAAGTATTCTTATTTACTAAACTAAACCACAAATACAAAGAAGTATAACAAAAACATGTGCTGACTTCTTCTTTATACTTCGTACTTCTGCTTACAGAAGTCTTTGCAGCCAGTCTTGTGTGTTCAGAGACGAGGCTCACATTTCCTCTTTGTCCCAGTGTGTGTTGCTAGGTATAATCTGATACCTCCACACTTATACTGACTCATCCACTCCGCAATCTCTATCTTGGGACTGAGTTTTAGGTACAAACCTCACAGCTATCAGATTGGCTGGATTTTAGTCCTTCCATGTTTCTTCTCTGTCTCAACCATTTTTCTGTACATCCTAATGTGATGAAGTTTTGGGGATTTCCGTAGCTTGCACACTTGTGTGGAACTTTACTGGGTCTCAATGAAGGATTTGTATTGTGGTTTGTCGTCTTGTGCTATTACAATTACATTTGGTTTTAAAAATAATTGCAGGCCATCAAGTGAACTCTGACTTCTAAAGCCGTTTTCCAGCATTTTCTAGAAATAAAGCACTCGCAAGTGGTTTACCATTCTTTTCTGCTGGGGTGTCGTTAGGACTCTGCAGGTTGCCCAAGGCTACACAGGTTGGCTCTTCTCCTGGGAGGCAGAGTGAAAAATCAAACCCTCAACCTCTGGCTCCAGTCAGCGCATTTGGATTTAGAGTTTCGCAAATCAAAATAGTCTTCGCCATGATATTTTGAGTGCTTCTTTGGGAATTAGGGCTGTTCTTTGGCAGCAAGTCAACCAGCCAAAGATCTTTCCATCATAGATTTCATAAGCATATAATTAGGAATACTGTACTATTTTAACACAAGATTGGTTGCTCCATTTAATAAGTATAAAGGGGTCTAAAGTCAGCAAAGGAGACGCAAACGATTCATCTGCTTGATTTGTGTATTTAAGTAATATATTTGAGGAGAAAAACCATAGAAACAAGAGATTAAGCATAGCAACAGAAGCTGTTGTTCAAAAACAGCACTAGGGGCTGATTTGCCGAACTGCTTGGATTTGAAGGCTTCTTCATGGGATTAGACAATATTTTCCCGAATCCAGATGGGCAGGGTAAAAAATGGTTCAAATAAATAAAATAAAATAAAATTTAAATGCTACATTCTAAATTGCTTAAATTGGTAAGCTGCTGTCTATCCTAGGGATCTTCGGAATCAGAATATTATCATTTGCTACCAGGGCTTTTCTTCAGAAATAGATGCACTGTTCATTTATTTAGAATAGTCTTGTATTGCCCTTTAATTCACTGAATGCTCAAGGCAATGTATAAATAAAAAGAATATATTCTTTTTGAAGTGAGATTCAAAATTAGAGGCAAGCTACATCAATGTTTGCCTAGTCTGGCCATCGTGGCAAAATACACCTTTCTCTTCCACTACCTGGTCCATCAAGGCAGCACAGACACTGACAGCACATGATACCAGTTTGGCCAGGCTCTGTGGACTCAGGTATTTTTGTCATCCATCTCCATAGGACAAGAAGCTTGTCAAAAGGTTACCTACATCTTTTACTGGACAAGTCAGTAATATAAAATCCAAAGAAAGAAAGGGCAAAGAGAGAGAGGAGGGGAGGAAAGAGGGAGAGAGCGAAAGCGAGCAAGAGAGCATTTCATTTTTCAATGTCTTGGTCATAAATACAAGGATGAAACTGTTATGCATTGTCTTCTCAAAGGAAGAAAAGCTTAATTTATATAACCCTCAAATTTGAACGTCTGAGAAAGTTTTAGTGATTCTAATAATGTAAATATGAGTGTTTTGAGTATATGAAAAGAAAACAATAAAAGGGGGGAAGATTGGGGGATTTTTCTTCAAACTAAGTTTAAATATAGATATCTTAAATGGATGGTGTTAAACGTTTCTACAGTAGGATAAGGAAGCTTTTAGTTTTTAAAGTAAAAGCATTGCCAAGCATCACAGGAACATGGATATGCAAACACACGGGTACTAACCAGAGAAGGTTGCAGTTATTCTTGCCTCTTGATCAGAGATGCAGGTATTCATATTCAAATACCCCCACACAGCTGGATGTAACAAGGGGCCGGCCTGTCCACTCATGCGTTCCGCTGCTGCCCCCCCCCCGGGCTCCGCTCTCCCTTCAAATTGCTCTGGAGCTCACAGTCAGCTATCTACTTGTCAACATGGCAGGGAGACTTGTCTTCCCTCCTTCTGCCAGGAGTGACTAGCTGACCGCAAGCTCCAGAGTGATTGGAACAGAGAGTGGAGCTGGTGGCAGCAGCAGACTCATGAGTGGACGGTCTAGCCCCAGGGGGTTGGACCCTCGTTACGTCCAGCTGTGTGTGGGTATTCGTATACCCCCATCTCTACTCTTGATAGATAGTGCAGTAGCTACAGTTAACCTGCAAGATCTATCCGCCATTGCAACATTGCTGTCATTCTGAATACAAGGATTTGGTAGCCTGGACACAAAGACTTGATGTTTATGCCTAGTAATGTTAATGTATCTTAGTAATGTTAATGCAACAATAACAGTGGTTTTGAAATTTACTCAGTTTTCCAGCTGCCTTGTGGCCCATCTCTAGAACAATATGATAGGGCAATCAGTTCTAGGACTATTAGTATCTCCCAACCTTGTGGTTTAAGTTTTCTTTTGCAAAGGCAGCACTGAAATACTTTCCGATTAGACAGAGTTAGAAGCAGTAGCAGTCTGATCAACTTATTTTTAGTGTGTGTGTGGCACTTGCCTGCATATGTGTTGGCCTTGTTCAGAAGGTCTGTGCATGCATGCATATCAGCAAAAGCACGAATGCCCAAACAGTTGACAGGATGAAGCTGGGTTTCCAGAAAGTCAGAGCAACTCTTCTTTACATCCTGCAACTGCAACAAACTAGCTGCCGGGAGAAGTACCTACAACAATTAAAACTAAGTGAGTTCATGCAGTCAGTGTTATTATCAATTTCAAAAAGCAACAACAACAACAACAATAACAGTGGAAAACTACACATTAGAAATGTTAGAATTCATGGAGTGACTATGATGGATGGAACTCTGCATATTGAAGCCATCTCCTTACTGTACTAGCATTTTAGGAAGCTTGCTATTAGTCAGTCTAAGGAAGCCCCTATTATACAGAAGTTATATTACAATAAATATCTCTATTTATCATATGCTTCTTTATTAGCTTCAGAAACTTGCTCAGTTGACCAACACTGGATCAATGGAGAAAGACAGCTACCCACTTGTTCACTGAAGTTACAGGGTGAGTTCAGGATCTGCACACAATACCTTATCTGTCTCCTTGCTCCTTCATTCATGTTCATTAATGTGAATGGGGAAACCAGTTGAGAGCTTAACGTTTACTTCACTTCCTGCTTCATCTGAACTGGGCAACTACAGTTAAAGTCTTTCCAAAAATATAAGTTTTGGAAATAAATATTAAACCATGACTGTGAAATCTGCCTTGTTTGGCAGCTATTAGTCACAGTTTCTCATTGCATGCAAAAGCTTTTCAGGTGGATTCACAGATGCATTAGGTGAAGATAACTGGTTGAATATGAGCATACCATCTGTTGTACAATTAAACATGCTATCTATTGTGCCATCAAATATTTTCCAGGTAAATCTCAAGACAAGAGAGACTAAATAACAAATTTTTCGCAGAAATGTTGAGCTAGGTTAAAAAATAGGAATTTTACGTATAATATTCAGAGCCTGATTTGTTCAATCCTGATTACTATTTTATAAGTCTGGGGTTCCTCTCTCCCGCCCCCATTCTACTCTTCCCCTCACATATCCATTTTAATTTGTGAAGACATAATAAGGATATTCACTAATAAGGATATGCATAAAACACAAAGGCAACATAATATTGATTTTCTTCTTGTAGCAATGGTTTCAAATCATGGAGGTAGGAACAGGAGAATGATATATCACATGTTAAGTGCATAGCTTTTCAACTCCAATAAAGGTTCTAAAAGCCTTTGTCTAAGCCCTTCCAAAAAGAAACACATCACCAGAATAACATTTTTCTTTTTAAAGTTATGCCCCCAATTAATTGCATGTCAGAAGCTTAGAAAGGATATTTGACAGCCTGTCATTAGTACCATATTTGGATCAGATTGTTTGGGTAAATAAATTAGATAAGGCTTTTGTCAAATTGCAAAACACCCAGTAGTAGAGTCATAGATCTAAGGTGAATGTGGAGCTGTTCCATATAACATTTCATAACATGGGATACGTTTGCATTCAATTCCTAAGATGTTTTAATACCTTAGTATTAGGCTACCCTAATACTTTACTATTTCTTGAATGGGCACCAGACTGTCATAAAAGCCTTGAGGCAGAGTAGGAATTGGAATCCACTCCTAGTCTTACACATCATCTGCGGTTGTCTCTGCTGTTCTGTTCTGTCACCAATACATGTATGTTGCACTTCCAAATTTAAACACAGAACCAATGATGGTTAATTTTAACCGAAACAGGTTTGATTAAAGAGGTACAATTAGTTACCTAGTTGCTATTATAATTCACTCCTCTCCAGGCAATGATGGATTAAATATAATGCTTTTGGGTTCCCATGTGTTCACTAAACCAACACAGAACTGCAGAAATGCCTCAAGCAGAAATACTTTGTGTTCGCACAGCTTGTCTTTCAAGAAAAGCATGAGTCAAGACAAACAGCTGTAGTGGTGGGTGGGTGGCACTGGAGAATGCTAAAAATATATGTTGACATCTGTAGCACAAAGCTAAAACCCAACACTTTACATGTCATCCAAGAAAGCTATTAGCACTCATTCATTTTAAATGCAAATCATTTTTGGGACAAGTTGTTACAAGCGCAATGTCTTTCCAACATGACTTCACTAGTGAATTTCAGGTCTGCTTGAAGTTCAGGTCGTGTTGTTGATAGAGGGAGCTGATAACCTCTGCTACTGTTTTCAAGTTTGTCCAGCAGTCTCTTCTTCCTTACAAATACTTAAACCTGGTGTAGTTCCATAATATACAGTGGTGCCTCGCTTAACGGCAATAATCCGTGCCAGAAAAATCGCCGTTAAGCGAAAACATGGTAAAGCGAAAATAAAAACCCCATTGAAATGCATTGAAAACCTTTCAATGCATTCCAATGGGCTTAAAACTCACCGTCCAGCGAAGATCCTCCATACGGTGGCCTTTTTCGCTGCCTGTATAGCAAGGAATCCGTCCCTAAACACAGCGGGGAGCCATTTTAGTTACCCGGTGGCCATTTTGAAACCGCCGATCAGCTGTTTAAAAATTATCGTTTTGCAAAGAATCGGTTCCCGAAGCAGGGAACTGATCATCGCAAAGTGAAATTCCCCCATTTAGACCATCATTTTGCAATCGCAATTGCAAAAAGATCGTCGTAAAGCGGATTCATCGTAATGCGGGGCAATCGTAAAGCAAGGCACCACTGTATAAAGAGGGCATGCAATATGGAGAGTTCCACAGTGTACTCAATTCAAGAGATCTGTCCCAACATTTTGAATTAATCCCATAACATCACTGCCATGTCAGTAGCCCTTCAGAACCTTGAAAAAAAATGGGCCCAAAAAATGGCAAACTGCGGGAGCCTCTTGGAAGGGACAGGATTTGCCATTGATTTCTTATTACATCTGATTTTAGCAGAAAGCCAGTCGCTTCTGCCTTCAACCACCTTTGGCCTAAAACAGGCTCAGGGAGATAAAACTGGCAAATCACTCCATTCATATATGTCTGGGATGCAGAGACTTGGCATTTGGGCACCATTTCTCCATATGAGAACTCTTTGTAAATAAGCTGATTACTTCATGGTTTAACTGAAAAAACTCTCAAAACTACTACCTTTGGTCTCCAAGGTTCAAGATAACAGGTACGTGAAGCCACCGGCATCTAATTTATCTTACAGCTGCTTTTGAGACAAATCTTCGTTTTGTACAGGCATATTGCACTATGTTTTTTTTCCCCAGTGAGAAAGACCCCACTGAAAATCAGCCTTCCTCCAGCAAGGTGCTCTTTGGATATACCCTGTTGACTGTGAGCGAAAGGAGCAATGCTTCAGCATATCTGGGGAATGCTATGTTAAGGAAGGCTGTTATGTTTTGCAAAACACATTTATGCTACAGGCATTACACCTTACATTATATCAGATTCTGTACTCTCAGAGGGAGTATGAAAGCAAAAGCCTTTCTGTTTTTCATATTTCATAATGTGTGCCTTCAGGTGCTACCTGTTCACCTCCCACAATCACTTGCTTGATACTTGCAACGGCTCCAAGAATTTAGATTAATAGGAACATACTAGATAGGTCAGTGGTTTAGGTCTCTGGTTGTGGAGCCAGAGATTGGGAGTTCTTCCCACTGCGCCTCCTTGACAAGAACTGAACTCGTTAATCCATAGGATCCCTTCCAGCTCAACAGTTCTACGTTAATCCATAGGAGCCCTTCCAGCACAACAGTTCTAAGATTATAATATTACAATACAGTAATATGATGTAGTTGGATATTCTGTAACTGGTGGCAAAGTGGTTGCTTAGTAAATTGATGCCCAGCTTTAAGCTCCAATCCTATACATTGGGAGTAAAGCTCCCATGAATGAAAGGGAACTCACCTTGGCATAAACATATATAGCACTGACCTATAATGTCTGGCAGAGAGGACAACCCAGTAGATAATATATAGCACTGCTGTTTCCTTTTCCTTTTTTTTAAAAAAAATTGTGCCTGCCCATTTATTATGATCATCATCAAAGGCCCTCCACAACATACCTAATTGCAGTACAGTGGTCACTTATAAGGAAAACTTTCAAGCACCTACTCTGACACCATTCCAGCACCAGGCACAATTTTTCACTTCCTAAATTCTTTCAGTTTAATTTGATCTGTTTTCCTCTATGCTGACTTTCTTGTCTACGCTATTCATATTGAATTAACGTTTTTAGTAAACATTTACATGTTTGGGAAATGTGTGTATTTTGTTTTTATCTTAGTAAAATGTTGTTTGTTTTAAAGATGTGCCAGTAAAATGGGTCTTACTGTATCTATGCGACACTCTGGCAGTTTATGAAGAGCTCAGTATAAATCCATCTATAGGAATAAAAAAAAAAACATCCCTGTCTGTCAGAGCCATTGTTTCAAGACATAGATCTACAAAGTTGGCACATGTACTAGAAGGCCTAGGGGATGTGAACCTTTGGGTTTTAATATGCACTAGTAACTTTTAATGTGTATATGTATATTTGAAATCTACTGTATAGTATAAAATCTACTGTATTATCTTCATTTACTAGATGGCACACATACAGAATCGGGCCCATTCCAGTATACTATAGATGTTTTAACGAAAGATATTAGGTGTTAATAATACTTATTGATGTTGATAAGTGTGATTAGGCAACAGCTTGAGACATTTTGCAGCGTTGAGTGAACATTTGGTCAAACAGTTTGTTAGAAATGCTACATGCTGTACTAGATAATGAGCTGAAAGATCCTGGCAAAACCTACTGAACAACAGGAAGGAGATGTAATTTGCAGCACAAGAGATCATTAGGTCATTAGTAATACCTATATCACTGATATACCCAAGAGTGGAAAGTAGTTGCCTTTAGGGAATTGTATCATATAACAAAGCCTCTAACATTATGAGTGACAGCCCTTTAATAAGCACAGAGCGCAAACAAAGAGCAGCTATACAAGTATTTGAGATGAGAGTGGGGCATGAATTGCAAGGTTTTGTAAAGGGAACAGGTTCCCCAGTCTACGATCTGCAAATGGAATATGATCCACACACACCCCTTGATTTTGCAGCTGCAGCGCCCCTGGCTTCTATAACTGCAGCCACATTAATTCTTCACTGAATGCCAGCTTTGTGTCTCACTTAACAGCAGGACGTATTTTTAAATGTTTAACTGTGTCACATTAAAATTTCACAAAGTACCATAATGACACAGATTAACCAGGCACTGACAGGGTTTTACATCTAGTTCACTTGTTCTGAGAAGAAGCACTGCCTCTTTCCAAGGCTTCCTACCAAGACACTGTTGAAGCAGCAAGGAGGAATCAAGGACACCTTCTGGGATGATGTTCAACCTAAGTTCTTCACAGGTGATGCACATTGGTGGCATGCTATATCATTGTGTCTTTTTCACAACTAATGATTCAACTGAGTTGAACGGAATCAACTGACTTGGATTGCAACTGAAAAAAAATATTTGATTATTCCTGATTTTGACACCACTGGTTAGGACAAAATACCAATAAATAGAAAATATCAATTTAGAAAGATGACTGAAAATCCATTCAGAAATTATACCCCAGGACACTTATAACTCACCACCATCACCTACATAGCATTGGCATGATATTTCTTTTGCTGATTTACATTGTTGGCGCTTTTTAAAAAATCCAGAATCCTCTTGCACCATCCAGAGAGAGGAATGCTTCACCCACAGTGTTCTGTGATTGATCACTTGCCAATATGAAATTAGAAGTTCATCCTCGTTGTTTTCAGCAGGCCTTACACTTGAATAACAAGGTACTGGATACCTCCTTGTACAAGCTCCAAAAACCCAAAAAAGATCCACTAATCAAGGAAGGAGACCTGCACAATGGAACAGGGCAACAGGATTCTGGCTATACAAACAAGAGCTCAGGGCTTCTATTTCGAAACAAATTCTGCTAATCACATTAGTACACAATGTCACATGAAGCCAAGTAAGACCAAAAGCAGGTAGCACTACCACCACTCTGATAATGCTTTGCCATCACTGTCAGAATCAGGACAACTCCCCCGCCCCCTTGCTGTGTATGGATTCTTTTACTCTGTTACTCTGTTGCATAATTCCTTCCTCCCAAAAATACAGCACAGTGGCTCTCTTAAATGTTTTATGAAAATGTGCTTCCTATAGTAGCTCAGTTCTAAACACAGAACATTTGAGTGTTCCACTTCTTAACACCAGTAGCTATTTTTTTTTAAAAAAAATCAATTTAAATTTTTAGGTGATTGTGGTTTGTAAACAGCCCAACGAACCAGCCTAACGAAAAGTTATTTTCATTTTTATTGGCAATTCTAATTTGGACCTGATTGTGGTTTCTAAACAGTTCCACCAACAGAACTGTCCAATAAAAAGTGGCATGGAGGACTCAAAAGGTTTTTACTATCATTTATATAGTTTTTGTCCACACCATTAAAAAAAATCCTATCAAAACCAAGTGTTTTAGGGGGATAAAATCTCTTCTGTGCTCTGTCTGTTAATGCTATGTGCTGTCAAGTTGCATTCCACTCGTGGCAATCCTAATATGGTCTTCAAGGTATGTAAGGTATTTGAGGAATAGTTCTACCAGTTCTACTCCACAGTAAGTCTGCAATACCAAGTAAGGATTTTAACAGAGTTCTTTTCAACCCTAGTCCATCACTCCATCCTCTATATCATGCTGGCTCTTAGCTCTGATAAACTGTGTCAGATCCACCAATTTGCACATGGATCCCTCCTTTCACCTGGAGGATTCCACATAACAACAGATGAGGTGCACGAGTGAGAGGCATTGGCCCCCTCTTTCCATGCATCACTCATCTCCCGTTAGATTCTCTTACCCAGCATATTTCATTTACCTAGGCAGACTTCCAGTATTGGAGCTCAGCTTAAGAATAAACATGGGTCCAGGGAGGCTACACAAAGGTAAGCCATGTACTCTTTGGCTACTAAATCAGCAAAATAGCTTCCCTGCCTTTCAATGTGACAGGACAGATAAGTGTTTTGATTCCTAGAATTGTTACCACTGTATGCAGTTGCTCGCAAGACACCACATGACAACTCATGTTGAAAATATGAAGACCTGTCTGCTACATAGATATATCTTTAAACATCTCTGAAAGCAAAACTGGTTATCAGCTAAAAGCTGACTAAATGAGTTGTCATGATCACTACTGTGTTAGCTTATACTAACATTCAAATGGATGCTCACGAAAAAATTATAGCACCACATGAAGTTAAATGAAAAGTCTGGACAATAACATAAATTAACTTCTAAAAAAAGAGTTTGTGGTTTTTTTTTTAAAAAAAGAAAAATGGCAGACACCATCACATCCTGTGAAACTTTCCATTATAGCTAAACACTGCAGTTGGCCCCAGCAGTCAAATAATGACATTAAGACTTCAGTGGAACTTGAGTACTGCAAACATTGAACGGAATACACAGAAAGGTTGGTAAGGTGAGAAACCAACGTTTACGAAGTGAAACCCAAGTGCCTTTAATCACTAGAAAAGGTTGATCTCTTGATTTCTAGTAAGCTAATTCCTATTGCTTTAAGCTGCAGTCTGCTGAAAGTTTTAGAGGTTCCACAGAGGAAAAGAAAATGGTATCAAAAGACTCAGCCCCCTCATATTGAACAGAAACAAACAGCAGGCCAGTTGCTTCATATCAGATTAAAAGCCAGCTGTGTACTTGTATCTGTGAATCCCTCTCTCCCTATCACCAAGTTCATGGCAGTGAACACTTTAGGGTTCAGCTTCTTCAGCTCACTTTTTAAAAAGTAAAATAGAACCCCAATATTTCTGTCTCTCTGATATGCAGAAAGCTTTGATTTATTCCAATTTTCCTGCCAGTGCATAATATACCATAATCTACAGGGCATGATGAGGGAACTTCTTGGGGGCGGGGTAATGACATTGGTTGGTTACATCCTCTCCAAATCACCAGAGCCTAAGCACACATTCTGCTATAACAAGAAACAAAAACAAACAATACCTAGGATCCTGAGGAGGTGTGCAAAAAAATAGGGGGGTGGGATGTTACCTGCCTCTGTTCTAAGTGCATCTAGTTTTCATTTGAGAAGTTTTCACAAAGCTTTACATTAGGAATCACTTGATTTACATCAAGTTTTAACAGTAAAAATGATAACTCAATATTGGTGTCTCTATAGTTGCCAATGCAGTCCTCTTGAACCTTCTCCAACATACAGTACAATTTTGTTTAAAGCTTTCATGCAATACAATCCAAAACAGAATCGACAGGCATAACATCAGCTATTCTCACTCCATGAAGGATGTCAGAAAGATACAAGTGAGCCTATGTTTTGTTTATTATAGTAATCTATAATAAGAATCTTAGAACAATAGCACTGGAAGAGGCCTTATGGATCTTAGAATCCAGCCCCTGTCAAGGAGGCACAGTAGGGAATCGAACTCCCAGCTTCTGTCTAAAAAAAATTGAGCTATCTAGCAGTTCCACCTGAGCTCCCTTTATTTAACCAGAAAGCATACTGGCTTTGCTACACCTGATCTTCCAAGAAATAGGGCCAGCTCTGCCAATTAGACAGAATGAGGTGGCTGCCTGAGGCTAATATGTTTTGTTGACAAAAAAGGGCAGCAAGTGGTTAGGCTTTTTAAAAAATCATTGTCGTTTTTTGTGGTGGAAAGAGAGAGAGAGATGCTTGAGGGAAACAACACAGCTCCACTAATCTTGACCATTATGCACTTTGACTTGGCAGGAGGGGGTGAGCTGCCATTTGCTGCTTTGCACAAGGCAGCAAAATGTCTTGGGATGACCCTGCTTGCAAGTATTTGCACTGATTTATACCTGAAAATATTATGTTTTCATCTGAGTCTCTCAGGCAAGCACATTCAAGATCAATATCCACTGTTTTTAATTAAAGAAAGCTGTGGTATAAGATCATACAAATGCTAATAAAAGGCACATCTCCTTCTTTTGTGACTAAGAGGCTAAAAATAAGCATCATTACCTTCACAAGGTGGGGGAGCTCTCCCTACTACTTGTCTCATGACACAGACTGACAGAAGATGAGCTGACAGAATCCTCCCACTCACCTGTACATTTTCCTCTGTCACCTGAATTTCCCCAGTGTAAACATATTCAATGAGCATCTTGAGGGTCCAGCCATCAACTTCTTTTATTCGAACTCTCTTTGCTTGACTCTCGCTCATTTCACCTGCAACATACAGTTGGGTCACTCTGTTCATTTCATCAGACACTAGTCACAGATGCCCGACCTACTTCAATTCATCACAGGCAGAGTTTGTCACAGAGCACAAAAACATGGCTTTGTTAGAGACAAAGGAAAAGCCAATTCTGCAGGATAATGCAATGTAGTTCAGTGTCTCTCTCTCTGAAGAGACAAGGCAAAGTGTGTCTCCCTGGAAAATAACAGCCATGCAGTACTGGGTTATGGCTGGAAAAAAATCAGATTTAGGTACACCTTCTGTTCTGATGGGCCTTTACACACCTGAGTACCTACCAAGCTTATACAGACTCTGGAAATGTTATATTTTTTAGAAGTTTAGTCCCCAAAAGGAACATTTATGAGCTTTGGTTTATATATACACTCATAACGCCAGGGCTAAAAATTTCTCAGGCACACAGAACTCAGCATGTGATATCACACATGGGGAGAGAAGCAAAAGTATTAATCAACAAAGGGAGTCATCAGCAATTTGATGCAATTTGCTTTAGTGGACTTATGAAAAGCCAGCAGAAGCTGTTCTAGAAAATCCCAGTGTCACATAAGGGGATTAATATTAGCAACATAAGACTCATCATCTCTCAAAACAATTTCACCCCTGGCCAGCAAAGATGGAAAATGCGGCACTGAGTGTAGAGGCTGATATGGTCACTGTAAATACTGTGGTGCCAGCTTGGATTCAGAATATGTCCCCAAGAGCCATGCCTCCCATAGTGTCAGACATGGGGAAAGTTACTTTTTCACACTGTTGCTCCCAGAACACACCAGCAAGTGTGGCCATTAGCAAGACTAGCTGGAGTGTTCTGTGAGTCATAGCCCACAGCAATAACTTTTCCCATCTTGACACATTTCAGAAGATGACATATTTAATGAATGTTGCTCAGCAATGAGAGAAGCCCCCAGCAGCTTGTAAAATCCATAGCAATCCAGAGTTCTTGCATTATAGAACAGGATAGAGTATCACACCAGGAATGTAAGATAAGGGGGAAAAAATCTCCTCCCCAATATAATTACTAAGCAGATAATGAGGGTAGTCGATGGACACAGGGGCTGTACTTCCTGAGCTGAAACTTCTCTTCCAAACTCTGTATCTACTGACACCCCACAAGTGCTGACACACCTCCCTGGAAACTGGTATGATATCAGAGCACTAGAAGATAAGGGCTGGCAGAAGGTAACGTTGTGGTGGTTTTGCCTTTTCAAGTGTACGAGGGGGCTGGTAAGTATTGAACCTTTCCCAGAAAAAATTGAGGTAGGAAGCTATAAATTGCAGGGTGTATTGGCCAATTTGTCTGTATTCAATGGTGCAAAAATCAACTACCTATGATTTTAACTTGTCTCTCATGTTCAGGTCCAAAGTGAACATGGCAGCACCTCCGGAAAAGTTCAATGTGGAAGAGCATAGGACCATAATCAAGTCCCTGTTTCTCCAAGGGAAAGGTGCAAAGGTGCATGATGAAATGTCACAAACTGTAGGTGACAGTGGCCCTTCATATGCAACAGTTAAATGTTGGGTTGTCAATTCTAAAAATGGCCTTTTCAGTGTTGAAAGTGAGAAACCCAGTGGAAGGCCTGCTTCTGTCTCTGTGCCTGCAAATGTGAAAGCCACCCATGACATGATCATAGACGACTGCTGAATATCAGCCAAAAGTATTGCTATATATCTGAGAATATCATGTGAGAGAGTTGGTACCATTATCCACAATGACTTGGAAATCAGAAAGCTGGCAACGAAGTGGATCCTCAAACTTTTGACAACCGAACAAAAGAGGAAACATGTGGAGTCATCAGTGGCTGTTTTGGAACATTTTGCAAGAAATGAGTCAGATTTCCTGGGCAAACTGGTAACTGGTGATGAGACATGGATCTACTGTTATGATCCTGAGATAAAGGAACAGTCTAAAGAATGGAGGCACAGTGGTTCCCCCAGGCCAAAGAAGTTCCGAGTGCAAAGGTCAGTGCAGAAGCAAATGGCAACAGTTTTTGGGGATAAGAAGGGAGTTCTGCTGGTGGACTACCTCCAACAGGGTTCAACCATCAATGCAAAATATTACTGTGCTCTATTGACAAAGTAGAGGCAAAACATCAAGGAAAGCTCTCCAGAGGTGTCATCCTGTTGCATGACAATGCCTCGTCACACACTGCAGGTGAAACAATGGCAAAACTGACCTCTTTAGGCTTTCAAGTGATGCCCCATCCACCCTATTCTCCCAACCTGGCTCCTTCTGACTATTATCTGTTCCCCAAACTCAAAAAACACCTAAAGGGACAACAATTTGGGAGTGTTCTGGAGGCAACTAATGCTGCAAATGAGTGGTTACACCAGCAGTTGGAAGAATTTTATTTGCAGGGACTTAAGAAGCTGCAAGACAAATGTCTAAAGTGTATTTACCTCCTGGGGGAATATGTAGAATAGTGTGGCAGTTACAGCTTCCTAGCTCATTTTTTTTCTGGGAAAGGCTCACTAGTTATCAGCACCCCCTCGTATCAGTTTCTTTTATTTTCCTCTCTTGCTGGTGTTTCAATTCTTTAACTGATGTGTTCCGTTTAATTTTTATTCTTTTGTGGTATTAAGAAAAACACCACAGGAGGTTAAAAAGGGGAAAAAAACACCCTTCTTTTTCACTTTTTTGACTCTTCTGAAATGTGATTAGAAGCTGCCTTCGTGGTCCAGAGTCCTACTCACAGGTCACACTGGCAGTAAGTGGAAGAGCATAAACTGCAGCAGCGAGTTGCCGCCCGCTAAAAAGCTGCTGCTTGGATCTGTCCTAGCATACAAATCACATCATTGGTACCCAACAATGAATACAGGTGACAACTTGTTAATTGACAGCAATTTGATGCTGCAATTTACAACCCCCCCCCCCTGCTGGTGCAACTAACCAAAAGGATTCTAACACGGAACAGAGAAAATAAAAGGAGGGCACTATCATCAGGAAAACTGTTCAGCAGCACCCACAACCTGTTGTAACACAGTGGACCCTCTAACAGTTAATTATGTACCTTTATTAAAAGCAGTAAGTTGGCAGCAGCATCTTAAGCCTGTATTGGGAATCCTGCATTTTAATTTTTATCAACTACAGCTTCATCTTTTAGGTGACATCTTCAATTAGAATTACAGTGGTATTGAACAGCTCAGTCTGAAAACAGAAAAACTCCTCAATCATAGAAGAGACAGGGACGTGGTTCCAAAGTTCAGCATTAATGTTTTTCTGAGGAATTATCATTTACCTTAAGCCACCCTGAAGCTTGCTAAAGTGACTAACCTAATACATAAATGTGCATCACTGTTGGATCCTACAAACCCACTGATATTCCTGCCTCACACACACAGCTTCATCAGTGTCAAGCACGAGCAGGCAAAAATCCCAGTGACCTGGAAAATATATGGCAAGCAACACAGTCCAACTGTCACTTGAAGTAATCCAAAAAACAAAAACAAAACCGAAACATGTGCTCTCGTAATGAGGTGCCAAACCTATTTAGTATTCTATGTGAGTTAACACTTTCAGTCCCCAAATATTATGACCGGTATCTTACTGCTTTGCCCCACCCTCCCTTCACTTCCCTTTCCATCCAGTGCAGTTTTGATACCTTGATTACCAATTAACATAAACATCTTTTGCTCCCTGATAATCACTGCTTTCAGGCAAAAGCTTCCATGTGCAAATTAGCAATTCAATACAACTCTGATTTCTAATATCAACTTGAGATAGAGTTCAGTCAGCTGTGTGAACCTATATATAGGTTCTCTCTCCCTCTCTCTCTCTAACTCCCCCCCCCTCTCTCACACACACATAGAGTCAAGTAATGTAGCAAACTATAGGGCAGTTTCTTTTCTTGTCTGCAATAGAGAATATGATGAATAGACACTCAGGGAAGGATCCACCATCAGAGGAAACAGATTTACCACTGCTCAAGAGGGTCTGCTCTACCTGAAGAACCATCTTCAGACACCAATTTATGCCCACAATTTAGGCTTCAACTGACTGTTTTTGCCTAGAGCACCACCCAAATGTAATCTCCAGCAGTCCTGACATGCTTTGTCACTGGGAAGGATCTACCATCAGAGGAAACAGATTTACCACTGCTCAAGAGGGTCTGCTCTACCTGAAGAACCATCTTCAGACACCAATTTATGCCCACAATTTAGGCTTCAACTGACTGTTTTTGCCTAGAGCACCACCCAAATGTAATCTCCAGCAGTCCTGACATGCTTTGTCACTTGATCCACCTGCACCAAGACAGCACAGGTGCCACCTACTATGAATAAATGCAAAATTTTAAAAGTGGTTGTTAAAAGAGAATAGGCTTGTTGAAATATGACAATTTTAAAGCTCTGTTTTATTGAAAGGCAAAGGCTGTCTACTCAAACAAGAGATAATATTATTTTTGGAAGGATTGTGGGGAATCACAATCAAAACTCTGGAGGAAATATATCTCTGCTGGTCCCAGTGGTGGGTGCACCTATTTAGGGATTTTTTTAAAAAGTTGTTTCCAGTTCTTTTAAGATATATGTATTTTTCCTGTTTTTTCTTTTGTTGTATTTGTATATTGTAGTTATGTTAATAAAAATAATAACAATAAAGAAGATACACCTGCTCCAAGCCTGCCCAGGTGCCAAGTACTTTGAATAAATGCAATGGATAGCTCATTGAGTGCCAGCAAGCTATTTGTTTACAGAAATGGAAACAGAAGCAGACTCATCAAGCCTGCAGTCTCCATCTTGAGACTTAATTACCTACAGATCATGCACCTACATGATTCTGGAATTTTCTGCTTCTCTCTCCTCCCATGTTTAATTAATTGCAAGTCATGTTAAAACTGTTCTTTGTCCTTGTTGACCCAACTGTGGTAAGGAAATTGCTTGCGCCCCCCCCCCACAATATTTTGCATAATTACATTTTCCAAAACAGACGATTTCTCAAGCAATAAGGAAAATGTTACCTGTAAACATGGCATGGAAGTATGGACTGCAAGCTGCTAACACAACTCTATGAGCTGCAATTTCCATGTCTTCTGCTACTATCGTCACATCACACAGCATGTTCTGACTGCATAGAAATAGATAGAAGAACAGCAGTTGTAAGTAACACAGGATCTGCAAGACAGTGAACATACTGATTATTCTCTTCAAGGAGCTTTTCAGGTAAAAAAGAATAAGGACTGCCCAACTTATAGATGGCAACTGACTAGGCACCAGGAGTTGTGATGATGCCCACCAATATTATATTTTAATATCCACAAAGTCTTATAAAATAAGGAGTAAATTTCATATGTTTATTTCTTCCCTTGCTAATGACAGGACACTAGTAATACACCCATCTTGCCCCCTTTTTATTGCAGAATATCTGAAAGGAACAAACATATTCTCCTGCCCTATTAAGCACTATTTGTTGCTTCACAGGTAAATTATAGAGCAGGTATGGGAAGATATTTTTAAATTTTTTCAAACAAAGAGAAAACATTTTTTTTACATTTTTTTCAAATCAACT